ATGGTCAGCAACAGCACCACTCACAGGGCATCAGCCCCGCCCACAGTCCATATATCTCTCCGCAGTTGATGCCTCAACAGCCCACAGATATGATTCCCAACGTGCCGTACATCTCTGCTCCTGCGGGCAACACGCAGTACCCCACCCCACCGACCGACATGTACGGGGAGGGTATGATGGTCCAAGGAAATGGTGGCATGGGAGATATAGGTCAAGCATCGCAAATGGCGCCACCCTCTATCAACGTGGAATTCGCACCCCCGGCGAAGAATCTCAACCTCCCGCAGACGAAGCCCAGTGCGGACTTGGACTCTTTGAGTCCACCCGTTGCCATGCGTAAGTTGTCACTGCTCGGCCTGTTCTTTGCGGTCTCTCGGACAAAGCTAATTGTGAGCTTATAGGCTCTCGCATGCGTAGTAAGTCGGACCCATATGCCCACCCGGCTTCTCGCGCACGGTCATCATCTACTTCGACCAGCCTGGAGCCGTTTGTGCCTCCATCACCCCGGTCGCTGTCGCCTTTTGATACCATGAGGGGCCAGCCACATAGTAATCCCAGCTCCCGAGAGCCGTCTCCCTCGCGATCGGGTCGGCGACTGTCCACGTCGTCGATCGACAGTAGAAATTACATTCTCGGTCTTGCGGATCCTCAGAGGCCTGGGGGCAACCCCAACGACTCCAAACGTGTCCAGAAACACCCGGCCACGTTCCAGTGTCACCTGTGCCCCAAGCGCTTCACGCGAGCCTACAACCTACGATCTCATTTGCGTACCCACACGGACGAGCGGCCTTTCGTATGCACTGTCTGCGGAAAAGCTTTTGCGCGACAGCATGATCGAAAGCGTCACGAGGGGCTGCATTCGGGCGAAAAGAAGTTCGTCTGTCGCGGTGACCTCTCGCGTGGTGGACAGTGGGGATGTGGTCGGCGATTTGCTCGTGCGGATGCTCTGGGTCGTCATTTCCGTTCCGAAGCTGGTCGGATCTGTATCAAGCCATTGTTGGATGAAGAGTCTCAAGAGCGGGAGCGCACGATGATGGATCAGCAGCAGCACCTACAACCTATACCACCTCCGTTGATGGTGCCAGGAATGGATGGCCAACATACCAGCAATTTCGTTCTCCCTGCCGCGTTGTTGGCCCAATACCCCGCGTTGCAGACCTTGCAGTGGGATCAAATCCCTGCCACCGCAGACGATCCCAGTGACATAGGAGGCCGCAGCAGTTTCGATGCCAGTTCCGGCGGAGAGTTTGGATTTGATGATGACGAATCCGGCCTCAGTAGTGTCTCTGGCATCAGCGGGAGCTACGGAGGCCCGAGTAACATGTACGATGTGAACAATTCGGGCCAGATGTTAGGAGTGAACCCTGCAGACTCTGGCTATCGAGAAGCCGATTGGAGAGCATGACAACGCGTGTCTCGGTGATGCTCGCTTGCCCTCCCATATTTTCCTTCATTCTTAGCTCGGGTGCTATATCCTTTCACCCAATTTTTCTTCTTCTTTCCTTTCCCCATCTTTATCATTTAACAGGCGATATTTCTTTCCATTCTACCCGAAATCCGAGGCAACGGGTGCAGCAGGCTTCCTCATGATTTCGATTTCTCAATAGAACAGGGTTTTGGCGTTGAGATACAGGGAGACGGATTGGACTGGTGATTGATTGATTGATTGCCTCATGACGGCGGGTTTCACTTTCATTCAGACCTACCAGTTTCTTTTTTTTCTATTTCTTTTACTACTTTTCTTTCATTCTCAGATGGTCTAACCGACCACACATTATCATTCTATCTTGTTACGTGATTACGAAGAATCCTTGAACTTCATACCCATGGAAGATGCTCCCGGTTGTGTTTTCGTGTGCGAGGTTTAGGTTTTTTATTTATTTATTTTCTATTTCGCTATTACCCAGGGAAAAGGGATGCAATTTTTGAATACGGATTATTAAGTCATTTTCGTCACATTTATTGTCCTACTTATAAGTGAGAGGTGACTTTTTTAAGCTCATGTAATTGACTGGTGCGCGGTACTGACATACTAACAAACAGAATACATATTAGTAAGTCCACTGTGATATCCACATTCCCAAGACAATAATAGTATTGTATACAGTTCTCTTCAAACAGTCCATATCCATCCATCTATCTATTCTAACTATCTCTATCTATTCAAATTACCCTAAAAATAGAAGCAAAGCTTGATTGCAGCCCCAGCCGAAGGCAAACCTACCTCCTATACGAGCGCTCCATGCATAGATTGCAAGGCAATCCTCTAATAAGGTAAGTGTATCAATAAGACTGAGTGTTACTAGTTAGCAGCACTAGACATAAATATAAGTATTAGTTCAGCTGTGTCTGCCTTGACATTTTTTCTGATTCTGGGATCTGGATGAAGACAGATAGATGTAGTAAAGAGTAAGCAGTAAGCAAGCTTGTACTAGTAAGGATTTAGGTTTCAGTGGAGGGGATGGTGGGACATGAATACTGCTACCGCCACCACCACTACCACTACTACTAGGAGAGGCAGGTACTGTTTTAGTCAGGATGTTATATGCTACGCTTCAAGTGAAGAGGGGAAGGACAGGGATGTAAGGTGAAGTATAGAGGACTAGAGCGGAGGAGCATTTTGTACTCCCCCTTTGATACAAATGATATACTATACAAATACGTTGATGATGATGGATGATGGATGATAATGCATTCATAAACCCCCCATGCCGCAGGAAACGCCGAACAGCTGACCAGCTAGCTCAAGTCCTTAATGGAACAGATAATAGATATGATTTTTCTTTTCAGCTCACTTTAAGAGGTGGGATGGGATTGGATTATCAGATTTCCGCTACAACCATGAAACGCTCACCGCACCAATTTCCCAATCTCCTCAATCCACTTAGCATGGAACTCTTCCTCGGTGAATCTCAACGCAGACTTCCTGGCGCGTAGCCGCATCGCGACCTTCTCTTCAACCGGAAGCGCAAGCGCCGCCTCGAACGAAGCAGCGAATTGCTCCTCCGTGGAGGCGCGGAATCCCGTGGCGCCATCGCCGAGGTCAATGACGATGTCTTCGCGGGGACCGCCGGAGTCGTGGACCACACTGATCAGACCGGCGGCTTGGTACTCGACGACGCAGATGCCGAAATGCTCGTTCCACATGGCGTTGACGCCGATGGAGGCCGTGGCGAGGTGCTCGAGGATGGTGGGCCAGCTGGCGTCGCAGATGAAGGTGGTTTGGTCGCGGATGCGGAGTTCGTGGGCTAGTAGCCGGAGGTTGTAGATGTGGGTTTCGTCGGGGCTGGCGTGACGGACAGAACCGATGAGGACGAGCTTGGGCTCGGTTTCGGGGTCGGCGTTCTGGTCGCGGCGCTCTTGGAGGAAGCGGGCGAAGGAGCGGAGGAGTAAGGGGTGGTTCTTCTCCGGGCGGAACTGGGCGATGTACAGGATAAGGGGCTGGCGGGTGCGTTCGGTCTCTGGGGACACGGTGATGGTGGACTCGAGTTCGGAGACAGCAGTGGGTGGGAAGATTACGGTGGGATCTTTGTGGGGGTTGGTTTGGCGGGAGGGACCCCAGATGGTGCGGATGTGCGCTGATGTCCAAGAGGAGTTGCACATGACGACATCGACGTGGCCGCCTACCCAGCCGTAGAGTTTGGCAAATGCGATCCAGTACTTCCGCTTGACCTGGCCCTTGAGACCCTTTCCGGCGCCGGAGTTGACGCCTTGCAGGCCGGTCTGGTCGTCGAGGGATTGGAGCATGTCGGTGGAGATGGTCGGGTAGTGCACGTAGGCGGCGGTTGGGACGGAGGGGAAGAGAAGCTTGCTGAAAGCGAGGGTGAATGCGTAGCCCATTGTGTCAACGAAGATATCCGGAACAAGGAGGTTGAATGCATCCCAGGCAACGATGAGAGAGCCCAGGGATTGGCCGAGCAGAGTCATGTAGGGGTACATGCTGCTAACGACATATTTGCGGGTAGTGAGATAGAGGAGGACGACAGTCGGGGAATGGAGGGTGATGTTGAAGCGGTTCTGAGGTCGTCAGTATGTGCATGAAAGACATGGGGATGCTAAATGGAGTGGTACCTGGACCCGTTCCAGCATGGCTGCTTTGTTGACCTCATGATCGCCGGTATAGATGGCACAGATTGCCTTGGGCCAGCGTTTCTGGGTTGCTCTCACGGCCTCCCAGAGAACACGTTCACCACCACCGCCTGCGTTACTGTAGGAAAGTGATCAGTAGGAGTTGCAACGAGGGGGTTGCCGAGGGCATTACCAGAACGGATGGAAGAAGCCGATGATGCCATCCCATTCTTCATTGCGGTTGGTGCCAGCGGTTCCGGAGCTGGAGCTGGAGGTATCGACCTTCTCCCAGTCCTCCTCATCACCGGAGTTGGTAGCAGAGGCAACCTTTGTACGAGTAACGTGTTCTTCATCGTCAGCGCGGACGCGCGAGATGATGTACTCGCGGCGAGAGCGGGTACGCTTCTGGACCAGCCAACCGACACCGCGGAGAACTAGGCGGAGAACACTCAGGGGCAGCTGGGGGAGCAGCACACAGGTCGCCAGGAGGGCGAGCACGGTGAGAACCGACTTGAGGATGAGCAGCATCATGGCTAACGAGAGACAGCTGCGGACATGGCAGGTGGATGAGGAGCGGAAGAGAAGAAGAATGAAACTGGCCAGCGTGGAGGTTGAAGACGAAGCGAAGAAGCGGGTCGATCTCGAGATCCTTATCGATAGCCCGTATTGTATGGTACATTACATTACATACATGATATACTGACAGTATGGTCAATCATTGTCTTGTTCCTATCACCACGTGATATCTAACTTCCACGTGATGACATGTTTTCCACCCTCGGCGGCCTTTCAATTCATTCTGGTCTGATTCGATCAACTCGGCGCGGCATTGGTGAGGCATTGTCTCCTAATCCCATACTTCCATTATTTCATTCTTGTACATATTCTGTTTTTCAAACTCATACGTCCAGCCAACCCGCCAATCCCTCAACATGCGGCCCTTCCGATTGTCGCATCCCGCACGCAAGACGACGGCTTTCCAGCAGGTCCGGCATTTCCACCCAACCCGTCCAGCTCCCTTCATCAACGAAGCCCTCGAACTCTCCTCCGCCTTTCTCCATAATGTCCACGCTATTTCCGGTCTACCATGGGCCGTCTCCATCCCATTGAGTGCTCTGATCGTCCGAACAACCGTTGCTCTGCCGCTACAACTCTACAGCAAGATGCAAGCGAAACGAGAACGGGATGCGATACCACTTCTCCATGCGTGGAACCGATGCTTTAAAGAGAATTTGCAGAAATCAGAGGACTACACTCGCGAGGATCGCCTATTGCTCGCCAAAATGGACCCTACAAGGGCCCAAAAGCAACAACTCATGAAGCAATACCTGGAAAGGAAACGAATCGTACACCGTCGCCTGGGCGTTCCCCGGTTCTGGAAGCCGCTGAACTTCCTCCAACTACCCATCTGGATCTCCATCATGGAGAGTCTCCGCGCCATGTCCGGCAATGACCGTGGTCTAGTGCCCTGGCTACTATCGCGCCTTGAGCCCGAGTCCGCGGATCCCTCGTCTGCCCTGCATCTTGCGGTCGAGCCCTCACTCGCCAATGAGGGTGCCCTTTGGTTCCCCGATCTTCTGGCCGGAGATCCTACCGGTATCCTGCCTTTGGCACTAACACTATCTATCCTGCTGAATATCCGAATGGGTTGGAAGGCCCAGCCTCTGAAGAACCTGGCCGATCTGCCCAAGGTAGAGATGTACAAGCAGCTTTCCTTGCGGGGAATTCGGATGTTTGTTCAGGTGCTGGCGTTGAATGTGGGATTGTCATCCTACGTATCAGAGATGCCTACCGCATTGATGATCTACTGGCTCACCAGTACGAACGTCGCTACGTTGCAGACCTTACTCCTGGATCGGGTGCTTTTCCCGGTCAAGCCCCTGCCTGTATGGAAGAGGCACTACGTCATGTACAAAACACCAAAAAGCCTGGCGCCTCCGGCCAAGAAGTCATGAAGTCAGGTTATGGACATGACTTGCAGACTCATGGGAGTTTGTGATGCCAGGCTATAGCCGACCGGAACGGATCCAAGGATACGTAAGACAGGTCCGGTGATGTAGGGGCTGTGCTCACTCACGAGTACTGAAATGCGCCTGAGGTAGTTTCGCTTTAGAGGGCCTCACTTGTTTATGAAGGAAATGCGTCGCGCTTTCTTCGATCAAAACTACCCGGGTGCAATCAATTCGTGGACACACGTCCATTATTTAACCCATTGTGCCATGGCCTGACCTGACGGACCAGAGACAGGGTGCTCGAGCTCCGAGGGAGCTTGACAATCTCAGCGCAACCGGGTGTGGCGGACATATACCGCTTTGTACTTATATAAAATCTCGATACCCCAAGAATAGCATCAATTACACTTGCAAAAGCAGGAGTTACACTAATGTAACGGTCTATGTCATGTATATCTCATTTCATGCTAATTAATGCATACTAAAGCAAGTGTAAGTTCCCCATCAGGCTCCGCGCGCGTAACGCCGGCTGTACTGCCAGTCCATTTAGTCAGGGTGAAAGAAAATCATAAAAGACAGTAAATGCCGTCAACCGTGTATGCATGTATCACGAACGGGCATCAAAGACAAAGTATAAGAAGTGGGAATGGAATCGAGCATGTTTTCTTGCGTCTCTCTTTTCTGTCTCTTTGGCGCCAATCGTAATAATGTCTTATGGTAAAAGTTATGGGTTTAAACTACAGCTTGGCCTTGACGCTCTCCTCGGATGCGCTGGCCTCTTCGTTGATGGTGACGGTGCGGTTGTCAGGGCCCTCGCCGAAGAAGATGACCTCGACAGTTACGTCGTCGCTTAATGAAGTTAGTGGGATCCTAGTGAACGATAAAGTAAGGAAGAAGCATACCGGTATCTGCGGGAATAAGGACTGGGGAGAGTCAGCAAAGCGGAGACCATCTCCTTGTCCTTTCCTCCCATGGCATTGCGCACAAGGTGAGTCGCAGCGTTTTGATCCTCAACGGTGAAGCGGCTGGCTGCTCCAGCGATGTCGTACTGCTGTTGACGGATGGGACGACGTTGGCCTTCAGCGTCGGTCGCCTTGGGCCCCTCAACAGGCAGCTCAGACTTGTTACCAAAGCTAAACCAGCTCTTCAGCCAGGCCTTGTTGCTGCCACTGGCGCCGAGCTGCTGCTGCTGCTCAACCCACTGGCCGACAAGACCGACAACTTCCTCGTTGCTCAACATCTCCCAGAGACCGTCGGTTGCAAGGACGAGGAAGTCACCGCTGCCGGGCTCCATCTTTGTGGTGCTGACGATTGGCTCGGCAGTCACGTAGGGAGGAGTCTTCAGCAGGGGATGGGGAGTGCGACCAAAGAACTGTCGCTTGATCTTGTCCTGAGTATCCTTGCTCCACTTGTAGAATGCATCTCCGAAAGAGCGACTCGGCTCGAGCTGTCCGAGAATCCGTCCGTTGCGCACAACGTTAGGCTCCCCGGGATGCTCCTCCCGTAGACGCTTCATCTCAGACGGAGTTCCACCAGTCTGGTCCTCAGAAAGAGGCGTTGCGGTCCATTTACCGTTCGCAGCACGACGACCCAGAACAGCTCTAGAGTCACCTGCGCAGGCGACCTTCAAATCCTTAGACTGAGAGTCGTAGAAAGCAAGAAGGGCGCAAGATCCGGAAAGAGCAGGCGCAAGCATCTCGGCTGCGACCCGGCGCGAGTTGGACTTGAGCACCTTGTCGACGCTGCTGTGCACAATATCGTCGTCCAAACGAGTGAACCCTTGCTTGATCGCAGCGTCAATGGCAGCGGACGAGGGCGTCAACAAAGAGGGGTCTGCAGCCGCGGCTTTATAGGTGGTGTTCAATTCGCGAGCGACGTAGGAGATGAGAACATTGCGCAACTTGGCAGATGTTGTCCAGCCTCTGTGAAACAGTAGGTTAGCGTAAGAAAGAAACTTGATCGTATGGAATTCTGTAAACGCACGAATGGCCATCAAACACCGCCCAGAACATCCAATCACTCTTAGATTCGCCTTGATTGGCTGCCGCAACGGACGACGGCACCTCGATAATCTTTTCGGCATGATCATCCTCAATTGGAGAATTACTAGGCACCTGCACAATATCGTAGCGGACCACTCCCTTGCCCCGATTCACCAGATATGACTCCTCATTCTTCCTGAGCTTCTGTGTGGCTTGCTCTGGGGTCAACATTTCGAGAACTCGACGGTCAGAATCGTCCGTGTGCTTGGACAATGGCTGATCTCCAGAGATAGGGGCGGTAAAGAACTGATCATTATCCACCAGCAGTGCACGTCGAGTGGCCTCCGCAGGGGCTTCAGCTTGAGCGCCAGCGGTTGAATACGAACGGAGTTGCGACGAGGTTGGGTTCAGACCCGCCGATGTCTGGCCGGTGCCCTGATAAGCGTACCAGGCGCCCGAGGCGACGGCGGTCGAAATGACAGCGATCGAGAAGTTCCGAAGATGCATCGACGACTGGAGGGGGGCGGGGAGATAAGAGGGGTGTTTGCCCGTGGAGGAAGCACGTAGACCGAGACTCCGACTGCTGGAGAAGGACACGGCGCACGGTTTCCTACCAGTGACCTTCCATGCTGGCACGCGACGGGCAGTACGAAGGGCTTGAAAAGCCGCACGACGCATTGGGCCGGCGGATAGAGGACTGTATGTGAGCCGGGAGTGTCTTGGCTACTCTCCGTCTCTGGTTTCGGAGAACAACAAAAGCAAGCAGAAGATAAGCAAGTGAGAAACAGATGAGATGCGGTGGAGGCAAGCAACTACTTTCAACCACGGGATCTCGCCGCCATTGCGTCATGTGATACCGTGTATGTATTGCTTGTGACCTTACATACGGCGGCTTCCGAAAGGGGCTTAAGGAAAACTGACAGAACCCCGCTAAGCCTGTCTCGGCCGTGTCGTCATTCCCCGCGGGACTGCCCGATTCAATCATATTCTTTTGTTCTTTGGCTCTTAGGCTTTCCTGTCAATATCTTTTCCGCGTCGCTGTCTGCGTGTGTGGCCCATTGCGCCTAGTGATATCAGATCACTCTCGACTACTTCTACAGATTCGAATATATTGTCGACTCCTGAATGTCCTCCCGTGCGCTCCGCAAGCTGCAGAAGCAGCGCGAACAAGAGCTGCAGCTGGCACAACTCGAACAAGAGAATGATGACTCGAGCGATGAAGAGCCAGTGGTCCGGCCGTCAAAGCCGAAGCTCAATGCATTCGATTTGTTGAACTTAGTTGATGACGACGAAGAAGATGAGCAGGAGTCCGAGATTGAAGCCGAAATCGAGGAACCTGAGCCAGTGACTCAACCTAAGGAGGAGGTTCCTGCACCTGCACCTGCACCCAAGCCCACAGCCCCGGGAAAGAAAAATAAAAAGAACAAGAAAAAGAAGAAGGCGGTGGCTAAATCGGGGGCTGGTGCTGCTTCTCCTGAGGCTACAGGACTGGATGATATCGACAAAGCGCTGAAAGACTTGGCCGTCAACCCTAAACACCCCGCACACTCCGGTGGTTCAGCCGCCGCAGAAGACCGCGATGCTGGATTCCCGAAAACACCGGAAGCACTTCTTGCCATTGATCCTAGATGCCTGAATGCGACGAACGAGATGCGCAAATTATTTGGAAATGTCGTGTTGGAAAACTTCGATCAAGATACTGGATCGGGTCGCAGGAGAGATAGAGGTCGGGAGACGCTTGATTTAGGACAGGCATTGACAGGTCGGTATAGTCCTGCCAGTAGGGGTCAGAGTCTGGCAGGCGTGACGCAGCGGCGGAATGTTCTCATGCAGGGCAGGGATGAGTGGCCTCGGTCTCCCAGTGGTGGCCTTGGAATGGAGCTGGTCGAAAAGCTCCAAAATGGCTCCACTATGTACAAGATTGTGCACAATTCTTCATATACGGACGTGCAGAGACAGTTCGATATGTGCGTGGAGTCAATGGATCCCCAAAGAATGATCCACCTCCTACAATACAATCCATACCACATCTCTACCCTCCTACAGGTGTCTGAAATAGCAAAGCATCAGGGAGATCATGCGGTCTCGGCTGACCTACTCGAGCGCGCACTATTCAATATCGGTCGTTCAGCTCATTCGTCTTTCAGCAACCTCGTTAAGCAAGGCCAGGCAAAACTTGACTTTGTGCATATGGAAAACCGCGAGCTGTGGCTGGTTGGCTGGAGGTACATTGCTAATCTGGGTATGAAGGGTACTTGGCGGACGGCGTATGAGTGGGCGAAACTACTGTTGAGTCTCAATGAGACTGACCCATACTGCATCCGGCTTCTTATCGATCACCTGGCCCTGCGAGGCCGAGAATACGCCCATTTCGTGGATCTGTGCACACAGACACGTCTGAGCAAGGAGTGGGACGCCCTTCCCAACATCCAGTGCTCGCTTGCGCTGGCCTATCTACGACTTAATAAACCGAAGGAATGCCGCGAGCAGCTGCGTCGAGCCATGTCGCGCTACCCGTGGGTGTTCTGCAAGATGGCGCAAGAGCTCGACATCCAGCCCATGCCCAAGAGGATCTGGGGCAAGATGCCACCCACGGACGCCCATGAACTCTTTACCGAACTCTATATTAGCCGTGCCAAGGACCTCTGGAACACTCCCGAAGCGGTTTCTCTGATCGTAGAAGTGGCCGACACGCTTCCTGACGAAGAAGAGCCCGTTGAACCGCCGGAGATCTCGCTGGATATCGCACGCCATGTCGTACTGTCCGATATCCCTCGGGTCACGACGCACCTGCCCAACCGCTTCGTCGCTGGACGCCTCTCCGCATCCGATCCCCTTCCCCCATACGAGTCGGAAGCCTATCGTCAGCAGTCCGACCCCACGCCATCCTACTTGTCGCAGGTACCAGATGTAGGGCGGCCACAATGGCTGCGAGACCTGCTTGATCAGCTGAACAACGGAGCTATTCATTTCCCTAGGTTCCAGCGTGATGGAGAGGAAGTACACGAAGATGACGTTCCATCGGAGACCGAAGCTGAGGACACCCGTGCGCCGGCCCACCCCAGCGCCGATCAGCAACCCGTTCTCGAACAGTGGCTGTTGAACGACGGGATGCACACGCTGGAAGCATTTCTCCAACAGTATGGAGTTGATCGGGGAAACTGGGGCGAAGTACTTGACTATTCCCCACTGACGGAGTATGTGGATGGCTTGGAATTGGTTCAGCCAGAGTCGGAGCGCGAGCGCTTGCTGCATGGACCAATTCGGGAGGCGATGGGAGACATGGTGGTTTCCATGCTGGAGGACGAGCTCCAGCTACTTCAGTACGACGAGGAAGAAGCTTGATACCCAGGGTGAATTATCGCGTGTAACCTATACAACATTTAGGAAAAGTATTTGCTGCATGGGCATTCAGATGGGCTTAGTAGACCAGTTAGAATATAGATGGTTGTCGATCAAAATTTCTCAATATCACAAGATATTAATTACTTAGAGACAGATAACTTGATCTACTGTAACTGTATTTTATCGATCGTGATGTTGCTGCTATCGCGACCCAGTAAAACAAAGTGTATATTTAAAAATACTAGTAGCAGTAGTACTATATGGCCTGCTTTGCAAGGGACCCCTGCACAATACGACGTTACCAACGGCTATGCGGCTTAGATGCATCCATTCCAGTTATAGAAATACTCACCTACATGTACCCCAAAAGATTTCTACCCACATCCAAAGCAATGATAATTATCATGGGGGAACTTGACAAGCTGATAAGCGATAGGATGAAGCTGAAAGAATGACACTGCTAACACAGACAGCTTAGTCAAAAGCATTCCTGACCGGCTCCACCCGCAACCATGCGCCAATCTATTCAGTCCCCAAGTGACTCAATTGTCGCCATTTTAACTAATAGCTTCATTCCTTCGTGCTTCCCTCCTACACATTCCAGGAAAATTTCTTCAACCACCGGATTCCTCCGAATTGAGCAGCTGACCCTTCATTTTTCACTATCCGCTCTTATCGCGACCCCATGCGCCCGGACGGCAAGGGATTTTCTCAATAAAACCGCTATCATAGGAGGGTTCCTTATCTCTGCCCGTCATTGATTGAGTCGAGCAGTCCGCAAGAGTTTCCCTCCAAACTCTAGCAACAACTCTTGCACCTCACTGCCCCCAGTACCTCAAACCAAGATGGCGGCTCTCTGGACAGCTACCAATGCCGACTCTGTCCCTCTCACTTCTCGCGAAGCAGCCTCTGGCTTGCTGGGTTCGATATCACTCACCTGCTGGATCTTTCTCCTTGTAAGCCCTCTAAATCTTTATCCCTCCATTCCATATACAAACCATACTAACAAGCTCCTAGGTCCCCCAACTAATCGAAAATTACCGCAACGGCAACGCCGAAGCTATTTCCCTCCTCTTCCTCTTCGTCTGGTTCCTCGGCGACATCACCAACCTAATCGGAGGCGCCTGGGCAGGTCTCGTGCCCGTGATTGTCGCCATCGCCGTGTACTTCTGCATCGCGGACGGGGTCCTCATCGGACAATGTCTCTACTATAAGGCGCGGAACTCGCGACAGCCGCGCCCCCGCCGCCGCACTTCCTCTTCCGTGTTCGAGCCAAGCACGCCCGATCCGACGACACCGCTCCTGGGCCGGCGGTTCACTGATGCGTATGCGCAGACAGGCGAAACTCTAGACAACCCTAGGAACTCGACGCGCCGCGCGGAAAGCAGCAGTGATGACATGCTGGCTAAGATTGTCGAGGAGAATGATGTGGGGCGCAAGGCGTGGGTGAAGAATTTTAGCAGTGTGCTGGGCATCTGCGTTATTGGAATGGCAGGGTGGACAGTTGCCTGGCGGACGGGCGTGTGGAAGCCTGCGCCAGTGGAGGAGGGGCTGGGTGGCGTGGATATGGCGCCTGGGGCAATGGTGTTGGGGTATATTAGTGCAATTTGTTATCTTGGGTATGTTTGTTTATTATGCTCTATTGGGGAGGCTGATGGTGCTGGTGCTAACTGGAATATAGGGCGCGACTTCCACAGATCTATAAGAACTACTGCGATAAGTCGTGTGAGGGTATGTATATCTCTTTCTGAGAGAGGTGATGTGGTTGGAGCTAACATATGAGTATAGGACTCTCGCTACTGTTCTTCATCCTCTCTCTTATGGGAAACCTCACCTACGGCGCCGGCGTAAGTCTACCAATTTATCACAATTCTCATGATTCACATAAACCCAGACTAATAAAAACCTTTTTTATAGATCATCTGCCACTCCACAGAAAGGAACTATATTGTGACCAATGTCCCATGGCTGATTGGCTCGCTCGGCACCATGGTCGAAGACGTGACCATCTTCGTGCAGTTCCGACTCTACGCGACACGCGACCAGGACACGGCTGCTGTTTAGCGCGTCTGTTGCACATTAATTTTGTGTTGTGTGTTTGTGTGCTGTTTCTAAGGTTGTCTTGGTTCTATGCTGCTGATGGTTTAGCGTGTCTAGCTAGTACTTTATTGTCTGGGGTTGTATTATTGGTTGGTTGTACCTGTATGGGCTGGCGGTGTCTAAAAGTTCTTTATCTCGATCTTGATCTTGCATTGCGGAGTGGGTATTGCTGTTGTTGTTATCGATATGGATATTGATTTGCTGATGTTGATGTACATCGATTGGCGGGATATTTGTTGTATGGGGAAGTTAGTTGGTGCACAGGGCAGGCGGAGTATAGTATATATAGTACTATAGTATACTATAACCATACGAACTACTGGTGTCTACTACATCTAGATCTACAGAACATATGGAAACAGTGGGAACGAGGTTTTGCTCATGGTCGCATGACAGACATTGCATGAGAGCTGGGGCACCTAAGCTCGAAAGAACACGCCATATAGCAGAGTAGCAACAAGCACACACAACATCAGAGACACAAGAGGAGCCGAAGCCGAATCTCTTCCGCCCCCCCAGGAAAAACCGGAATCGCAACGGCATCGCGGTTTCCCTCCAGAAAGTAGTACTACGTAAGAGACACATTTCTGGTTCTTATTTTCTTCACGACGGAGCCTATCATGCGAGCAGAGCGCCCAGTCCCACCGGATGTCCTTGTCCGTTCATTCTTTCTTTTAATTTTCCCTTTTTGGTCTTCGTGCGGTCGCGTAGTATCAGGTACAAGAAATGCGAGGGGGCGAAAAGGAGGTAGTAAGGAAACGAGATAGAAAAGGAAAAATTAGGAAACCCGAACGGTTGAAGACGCTTAGTCGAAAAGACCGAAGCCCATGTCCTCGTCGGACTCCTCCTTCTCTGTATAGAAGTTAGCCCAAATGTTCCTATTCCTATGATGCCCTGCCATTGCAATCGCCATGACAATGGGTATGTTGTAGTATGTTCCGTACCTTCTTCCTTCTTCTCCTCAGCGGCGGCAGCCTCGGCGGGGGCAGCAGCGCCACCGGCAGCAGCAGCGGGGGCGGCAGGGCCAGCGGAGCCGACGTTGGTCAGGAGCTCCTTGATGTCCTTGCCCTCGAGAGCCTATTGATAAAACCGACGTGTAAGTCTTTGTGTTTGATTCCAGATGGTGGTGGTGCATAGTCGGGTTGAATCGCGAATCGCATGCGATGATGAAACTGAGATGTGTTGCGAAGGTTGGACGGATTAATTTACCTTGGCGAAGATGGAAGTCCAGATGGGCTCAACCTCCTGAACCTTGGCGGCAGACAGGAGAGTCTGGAGCTTGTCGGCCTGTATTGAAGAAATTCCAATATTAGTCCAATTTTGATCCTATAACCTTGAATTTTCCAACCCGGCATTTGTTGCATATTCCGATTCCTTGGTATCTCCTAGTCCCATCTCTTTTCGCGACACTTTCTTATTTTTCCTGCTCTTTCCTAGAACCTTGTTCCCATCCTTGCCTGCCATTCCAATGCCCGGGTTGAAATCAAGGGTCAATACGTACGGTGACCTCGACGCCGTCATCGGCGAGGATGAGGGCGGCGTAGGAGCAAGCGAGCTCGGCAGTAGACATGGTGGTCGACGGGGGGGTTGGACTGGACTGGAGTCTCGAGAGGGATGGGGATAAAAAGAGGAAGAGAAGGACGGGAGACTTTTTTGTAACGGCCTGGTCGAGAAGGGGAGTCGGACGGTGAGTGACTAACGCTTGCCCCGAACGGAAGTTGTGTGTTGAGCACCGCAGAAGCCCTCGCTTAGGGCTGCTCCCGTTTGGGCTTAGTCTTACCACCCCTCGCCCGTGACTTGGCGCTATCCCGCTTCGGGCCAGATAGCTTGGCAATGCCATCATCGCCTGATGGGCTTCACGTTGCTTTCCCGCCCGTGGACTTTACTTCAATGCGGATGTATCTCTTATTAGATTCTGTCTACCTGGCTTGGTTGTTGTGTCGCTGATATAGAATCAACTCGATTACCTCTTTCAATTCCGCTTCATCCGCACCTGCGTCCCCGAACCCATTACTTCGTTATCTATATTCTTCCCCTCTCCTCCCCTCCCCTCCCTCCCCTCTCTCTCCAGCAGCATGGACTCCCCCGCTGTCCCCGCCCCGCTGGACCCGAAAGAGCAGCCAATCCTTGAGCGTCTGTTGCGCACTCGCGATGCTCTCATCTTGCTCAAACAAGACAAGTCTTCATATATTAAATCTCGCGATGTTCTTCCTCTCTATGAAGAGGTGGTCGCCGAGGTAGAAAAGCTCAATGCCGCGCGCAAGGAACAGGATCGCCGGCGGGCACATAATCGACGTTAGCACTGAGTGGGCCTGTGTATGGATGATCGTGACCATAGGAATGCTAACTTGTGCGATGTTCTAGTGGACTATGTTCTTGACGATTGCTTCCAACTCATTTCACTGCTATTCCTGACCGTTGGTCGCAACAATGAAGCTCCTGCCGTGTATGTTTCTACTGCCTGGTCTGAGTCAAAGGTGAACTATACTAACTGTTGTCGCTGTGGTACAGGTACTCTCTTGCAACGACTGTTCAGGTATGCGTGACCGTCTCTGCGATACTATTCCCCTACTAACCGTTCAGCGTCTACTCGACCATCTGGAAGAGGCCGGCTTCTACAGTTCCAAAGACCTGATCTCCATCACCAAGACCCTTGCGAACATGAACGATACCCTCGAGCGATGCCGCCAAGCTTATTCCCCCGCCCTTATTACCCTGCTCGAAAGTCGTCTGGAGAAATGCCAGCTGTTGTTGGAGAAATTGCAGAGTGGTCTGGCCAAGCTGGGTCCGGAACTGGCGGCTACACATGAGACTCTTGTCTCAATTCTACGCTCGACGTCGGCCGTAAACACGCGCTCCAAGGTAGTATACCCTTACCGATCGGAAGTGTGCAAGCTGACACTGGTAGTTTTCATCATCCGAGGTCACTGCGCTTCGGACCCAACTGAAGAAGATTGAGGAGGGCATGAAGGACGGAAAATTCGTGGATGCTGAAGGGGTGCCGCTTTCCGGTGCCCAGGAAGACGTCAAGCTGCTATTGGAACGGTGTTGGCTCTGGACGGAGATCGTGCTGGAACGGTATGTATGAATGGCGACACGATAGAATCCCGTGCTGATATGTCGCAGACAAGGAAAGATCGACGAAAGGTTCAAGGAACAGTACGACAAATTGATCGAGATCCGCAACCAGCTGGACCGTCTGGCTGTGACACAGGCTTGGTCGCTCCGCGAGACGGACCTGTTCGGCTACCAGCGCAAGCTCGACCGGATTGACGAGGCGCGGGTGAACGGCAACTTTGTGGATGCGGAGGGCAACGCAGCAGACATTCATGCGCAGAGGGTAAGTTGCACCGGCCGCCATATATGGTACATACTAACTCGGGTATAGACATTACTGTACCTAATCCGGCGTAGTTACGGGTACATTTATGCGCTGCTGATCTCCTCAGAGCCGGTGTCGGAGGCGCTGTTGCCAGTGTACAACCAGCTGCAGACGCTGCGCAAATGTCTACTGGAGGTACAGGAGTCAGGGGGTGTATCGAACTCGCGCGAGCTCTATCCGTACAGCATGAAGGTAGGTGCTGCTTTCGCCAAACAGAGTTGACAGGCGCTAACGACAAATCAATAGCTCAACTCGATTGACAACATGCGCGTGGACGGAAAGTTCTACGTGGGCACCGACATCCCTGAAGGTCAGGGCAGCGTGAACGCGTTGCTGGCCGAATGCTACGACATTGTATGGGAATTGCGGGCGGCAGTGGACGAGGACGAGCGGACGGCGTAGATGGGAAGGATGTCTTAATATGTACTAATGCGAACGGGAGGATATCTTGCTGGCTTTGGAGGCGTTAGGGAGTTGGACCGTCGTAGTGAATGAATGATTGATCGATTGAACTATGAACCAAGTTGAAATCATGAAGCGATCCCTGCATAAATCCTACATGACATCACCTCCGCTCCGCCCCGCTGGGCCCCACATCCCACATACTCGCGGGTCTTCAAGGGAAGCAAGTAATTCCACCTCATCTTCTAGTCTTGTGTATACATCCCAGCTACTTCCAGAGTACATCACCCATGATTGGGGCATTTGTAGTCTGCTGACAGGCAGATCCCACATCCAATCTCTTCACACTGTATATAAGCGTCACTCTTGTCCCTCCAATTCCCTCATCACAACCAACATCCATTTCCTTCCCCCAATTTACCCAGTATACAATCCTCCAATATCCCTCTCTCAACATGACAGAAACCCTCCGCCCAGCCTTCGCCGACCGACCCCGACCTCTCCTCTCCTACGGCATCCCCTTTCCCACCGCAGCAGCCCACCACATCACCGACCTCTTCCACGCCTCCAAGATCTACATCCTCTGCTCCGCCTCCCTCGCCCACAACACCGACGCCCTCGACCGTCTCACCCGCGCCCTAGGACCGGACAAGATCGCAGGAACCCGCATCGGCATGCAAAGCCACACGCTCTGGTCCGAAGTACTAGAAGTCGTCCGCGACGCCCAAGCCGCGGAAGCAGATCTCCTAATCACCCTCGGCGGGGGGAGTCTAACAGATGCCGCGAAGGTGGTTGCGCTGGTAATATACCTTCCCTACCCCCTCCCCCCCTCCACCTATCCTAACACATATACTAATCAAAAGAACTGGCTGGCAAACTATAGGCAATATCCAACAACACCACCACCCCCGACACCCTCCTCACGTTAACCACCGAACCACCGACTCCAAACCCACCCATCAAACCCCCCTCCATCCCCATCATCTCCATCCCCACCTCCCTCTCCGCAGGCGAATACTCTTCCTTCGCGGGCGCCACGCACGACACTTCCCGGCGGAAATACTCCTTCTCAGCACCGATCCGCGGCCCGCAGCTTGTCATCCTTGACCCGGAGCTGACTGCCACCACTCCCGAGCGGATCTGGTTAGGGACGGGCATCCGGGCGGTGGATCACTGCGTTGAGACGTATCTTTCCTCGGGGGTGGGAAGTAAAGATGGGGTTACGGAGGAGACGGATCGGTTGGCGTTGCATGCGTTGGGGTTGTTGGTTCCAGGGTTGGTGAGGTGTACAAGATTGAATACTAAGGAGGGGGGGACAGATAGAGAAGAAGATGGTGATGATAATGATGGTGGGAAAGCAGCGCGGTTGGATTGTGCCTTGGGCAGTGTGGATGCTATGGCTGCTTGTTCGGCCGGGTTGCCTTTGGGGGCGAGTCATGGGATTGGACATCAGGTATGACCGCATTCATTTTCTTATGTATCTTTTTCTAATAGGGTACCTGTTTATATACTAACGACTACGTGATGAATAGCTCGGCCCCCTCGGCGTCCCCCACGGCGAAACAAGCTGTATTCTCCTCCCCGCCGTATGCAAATACAACGTCAAGTACAGCAGCAGTACCAGCAATGTGACTGCCCGACAGACTAAACTCCGCGATTTTCTGCTCCGGCAGGAGGGCGTATCCGGGGTGGTGCGCAAGCATTATGCAGAAGCAGCAGCAGAAGTTGATCTCGGAGATGTGCTAGACGCAGTGATTAGAGAGTTAGGGCTGCCGCGGTCGTTGCAGGCGGTCGGGGTGGGGCGGGATCAGTTCGAGGCGCTGGCGGAACATTGTCTGCATGATCGGTGGTGTCGGGCGAATGTGGTGCCGTTGCAGGAGAAGGGGCAAGTGTTGGAGATTTTAGAGATGGTTGCTTAGTCTCTCTCTCACTTTCTTTCTCTCTGTCTATATATATATCCTACAGTATAGGATTGATTGATTGACTGGGAGTGAAGAAGATATATGGTATATGTAGTACTATGTATGTATTCGGCTTATTATGGCTCCCAACTACGTCACGTCTTGTCTTGTCTTCTCTCATGAAAACCGCTATACACCTTTAACAATAAAAGCATAACAATAGAAGAGATATAAAAAATAACTGTCGAAAAAATAATAAAAATCCCATATCCTTATTGGTGGTTGTTGTTGTTGTCCTTATCACATTGCAATTCTCATTTCAACTCATGGCATATGAACATTTCCCAAACCGAACCCCGTCCCCAACTGGTGTATATCAACTCACTGGAAGTAGCTGCGCACGGCGGCCTGGTTGTCCGGGTTAACACCCGCCAGGATCTGCTCTGCGTTCAGCCCGGTCGCGGCGACCAGCTGCTTCGCCGAGTTGGCCACCCGGCCGGCTGTCTGGCCCTGCAGCGTCTCCGCTTCCAGTGCCTGGACAATGTGTCCGAACACCTTGTCGGCGCTGGACATCACCACGGGGTTTTGTCTATTGCACGTCAGTTAGTATGGTCACCAAGTATTGATAAGCATATTGGGGTCTTACTGGTCGATCAGCTGCGCAAGGAAGGAGTAGGCGTACGGAGCAGCCTCCTCGTCGAATGTGATAGGGAGAGTGCCGATCCAGTTGGCCACAATCTCCTGAGCGTTCTGCACCTTGCTGGCGTTGTAGTGCAGGATCTTGGCGATACTGGCCGATGCGTTCTCCGTCGCGAACACGTGCTCCTCACTGCGCGCCTGGTTGATCTGCGTCACCTGGAATAGACTGGGGATGCTGGCCGCCACAAAGTCGGCCCACGCGGCACCGCCCTTCTGGGCAGCAACGCCCACACCGTACGCCGCAGCCTGGCGGTTGGCCGCATTAGGGTCCTGCAGGCCGGCTGCCAGGGGCTGCATGATGTGGTCCTTGTAGTTCCACGACTCGGGTCCGCAGAACTCGAGCACATCGTCCATGATGCACAGGGCCCATTGCCGCTGCGTGGGGTCCTGGCTGGTGATGAACGCATCGTAGAAGGCCATAAGCTGCTCCCACGCCGGCAGGAACGTCGTGCCCTGGTTCTTGAAGATGGAGTGGAAAGCCTTGTTCATGTCACTGAGAAGGTTCTGGTCGTCCTCAATCGCGTATTCGTAGTCGAGGTTGTCCTCCTCGCCCTCCTCCGCCTCCGCGCGGTCCTCGAGACGTGCCTTCACGCGGACCTGGTAGTCCTCCAGCGTTGACTTGGCCGACTCAATGAAAGCCTGCATGTGCTGCTGGGTCAGGCAGTTTTGGCCGACCACCTCCACCGACTCGTAGAAGCACTGGTACATCTCCGCCAGTGTGTCGACTGTGGGCTCGGCGCTGAGCACTTCAATGATCTTCTCCGCCACCTTGTTCCAGATACCGGCAAATCCAGCCGACTGGTCGCCGTGAGCCTTCTTGTACGAGTTCAAGAGCTGGGGGATCAGCTTAGCAGACGACACCCGCACGGGGTCGTGGAAGAAGAATGCAAGGCCGGGGACGGCAATCTTCTCCATAGTCTCCAGAACATACGGCTCGAACGCAGCCTCCAGAATCTGTGCGTAGATCGTGATGAGCTCGATGGCGGTGTTCTTGTCCTCCAGTGCACTGGTCTTGATACCGATGATCTTGCCCTTCAGAGGCACCAGCTCCCAGCCCTCATCCTGCTCGACCTGGTCGATCTGGTCCTCATCGTCGAGAAGCTGAATATCAGCCTTGGCAGCGGCAACCGTCAACAAAGGCGGCATGACACCAGGCAGGTAAGGGACAAAGTCCTGGCCCAAGACGCGGCACATGCGGCCCCAGCAGTGGAGAAGGTACTGCGATTGCGGGTCGTCGGCGTCGACAATGTTCTGTTGAATGTTGCCCAGAAGCTGCACCAGGTTCAGCGCGTCCTGACCCATCTTCTCCTTGCCGACAGCCAGAGCGATCAGCGTGGCGCACTCCATAGCCTTGGCGCGAAGCAGGCGGTATTCCTTGGACTGCTCCTCCTTCAAGACGTTGAACAGCAAAGGCATCAGGGTATCGTAGTACTGCTCGAAGGCATTCTCAGCCGAGTCGGCGATGGTAGCGATAGTCGAAAGGGCCTGCTCCTGCACGTAGCGCTTGGTGCTGCGCAGCAACAACAGCAGGTGCTGCAGGAGATCGGCAAGGTACGGTTCCAGCACCTTTCTCTCGGCCTCCTCGCAGAAGTTGACCAGGGCCGCGGCGGCGTGCGCCTGGACACGGGGCTCAGTGCTGTTAAGCACGGGGATGATGTTGGTCAGCACCACAGAGTGGTATTTCTCCTGCATAGTACCGGCGAAATCGGTGCTCATCTGGCCCAGAGCGTTGCAGCCAGCATAGCGCACGCGCGGGTGGGGGTCCTGAAGAGCGGGAACAACCAGTCGCAACACCTGGTCCAACTCGCCGACCATCAGGTCGCGGCAGCCTTCCGAGATGGCGGAGATTGCCATGAGAGCTGCATGGCGATCGCGCCAAGCAGAAGAGGACATCATGCGAGGAATCCAGGCAAAGGTCGCGGGGAGGATGATCTGGCCGCCAAGCTTGTTGGCCAGACGGTCCATGCACTGTTCACCCGCAACGTGGTTGAGGTCGCTTTCCTCCAAGTCGAGCTGTAATACGTCAGCACAACAATAACCATGCAAGATAATGAAATAGAACGTACATCCTCCGACGCATTCCATTCAGAAGCGTCTTCATCATCGACACCAATATCCGTCATCAAGCTCAGGCACTGGGTCACCATCTGCTGAGCGAACTCGGAGTTCTTCTTGCACATCGAGGGCGCATAGTCGGCGAAGGTAGCCATCAATTCGAGAGCGTTCTGGCGGACCTGGTCACTGAGGTCCTTGTCGGCAATCACACTGATACTGAATGTAACCAGGTTGTTGAACATGGTCTTGAACATCTTGGGGCAGATCTCGGCCAACTCGATCAGAGACAAAAAGGCGGAGGAGAGCTCCTCGCTCTCGGACGACTCCTTCAACGGAGGCAGAATGTTGAGCAGATCGGGCATGAGGGAGAAGAACTTGGGCTGGGACTTCTTGGCGATCGAGCGGAAGAACGAAGCGAAGGCCTCCATGGCGGCAATGCGCACCTGTACAAACGGCGATCAGCATACGGCTTGGGGCCTCAAGCCTGAGGTATGGCTGTCTTGACATACTGAGACAACGTCATCCTTGAAACCCTTGCTGAACACACCGACAACAGCCTCCTCGTGGGGCTTCTCGATGATACCGGGGGTAGTGTTGAAGATGCGGAAAGCGGCCTCACGCAGGCCGGAGTCAGGGGACTGGCTGGCCTGGAAGAGAACGCCGAGCAGTTCGGGCCATTGGTCGCCTAAGCCACATGTATCAGATTGGAAAGATCCAGCACGTATCAAGGTCCTTCACGGTGCCTACCGTTGTCAGTGTACTGTCTGGCAATCTCGGCCACGGCGTCGCCGATCTTCTTGCGGGTATCTGTGACGGACTCGCTGGTCAAGCAAGTCACGAGCTTCTGACGGATGATCAACCTCTGCTCGCCGGTGAGGGTCGAGAAGAGCTCTTTGGCCTCGTTTGTGACGGGGTCTTTTCGTGTCTTGGTCGCGATTCTTCTGAAGAGAACGGCGGAGAAAGAACGTGTCTGGGGGAGATGCAACAATGAGCGACCTGAACGCGAACCACCTTTTTGTCTCCTTAAACTGCCACTAGTCCGGAGGGATAAAAATAACGCTTGTTATAATCCGGGGGTGCTGATCTTTGACTCGATTGTCTTGGACCAACGTCCTTTAAGGGCCCACCGAGGAAAAGCCAAGCAGGGCACTTACTAGCACATCCTCCGCACCCTGGATCTGCTCTGCCAGGCCCATCAGCAGGACATCGGGACGGCCTTGAATCCAATCATTGTTCAGCTGTTCCTCCGCCTGAGCACGAATGGTGTTGTCGGGAGTGGACAGCGCGCGCAGGAGCTGCGAGAGCGCCGAGTGGACCTCGGGGGAGAGTAGCGACATTTTGACAGCTCAAGTGTGAACAATCAACCCGAGCTGAAAACCACCAAGATCGCGGGAAATTAGGAGACAGGGGGTCCAGCGGTGAACCCAGGTGGTGGAGGGTGGGGTGGTGGTTGATGTGAAAGGGACTTTTTTTGGCCCTTTGGAGGAGAAATTGTTTTGGTGGGGGAAGAAATAAGTTGACCAGTCGAGGGGGAAGAGGGAGGGCGGTATGGGCACCAAGCAACCAGACAGGTCAATCAATGAACGGGCAACCCGGCCAGGAAAAAAAAATAAAGGGTAGAAAAAAAAAAGAGTAGAGTGAAGATCAATCAATACGAATAAGTACCAGCGCGGGTAAAATCCCAGCTCAGCATCGCAGCCGGACAGAAAGCTGCGGGTGAACAGGAGGGGGGAGGGCAGAAAGAAGAGGGCCCGTGAATAGCGCGAGGCTTAGAAGATAGTGAGAAAAAGAGCCTGGATGTTTGATGGTGAAGGAGGGAAGAAAGGTCAAAAGTGACTGCAATAATACTAGACTAAGGCAATAACTAATATTCACGGCTTTCTGCTCGCGACCCCCCAATCAGCTTTTTCCAAAATCCTAAAATTTCCCCCCAAGGCCGCCGCGCTAGTCTCCTTCCGGCAAGCCCTTCAGGCAGCCAGGCAGTCAACCCCTCTTGCAGGATTCGGCAAATCATCCAGGAACGTCCCTTGGCTATACCGGTAACTATTATGTCTATCATGCAAAATATGCTTTATCTAATCCCTCATGATGTTGACCCTGACGATGGTCCGGTACTGGTGGGTGGTCTATAAGTACGCTTCCCGAATGGGAGCAGAACATGCTATTGTAACCTTACGCTCTCACGAACTTAACGGTATCCGAAACAGAATAAACAGGCACAATTAGGACTTCGGCCACCACCATATGTAAGGAAGGAGATTGACCAATGCATAAGGGAAACTAGTCACACAAACGAAACGCTCTTGGGGTTACAGATATATGACACGCGAAAGGAGACGTCGAAAAGGAAATAGATACACGGGTACTTGCTTTCTTTCATCACGGACAGGTAGATGCACATCTCTTTACCGGGAAGTGGCCCGGCTCAGAATGAACACTCCCGCAATGACGGCCGCCAGGGTCACAATCGCACCCGGAAGCAGCAGGTCGTTGGGCACTCCGGCGATAAACTGCTCTTCGGGCTGGTGTACAGGGAAGGACTGAGCCCGGGGCTTCGCCACCAGGGACTCTTCCTCGGACCGGTCTTCGGGAATGGGACTCTTCTCCTCGATGGGCCGGGCTGGCACCGGCTGGGGTTCAACGGTAGCAGGAATAGGAGGCTGCGTAGGGTCGTGGACGAAGAGATCGACCTTATCGCGGTGCGATTGACGGGCAAGGCTGACGGCATCTGCCAGATCTTGGTCGGTGGTGATCGACACGGTGTCGCCCTCGTTGTCCAGGTAGCTCAGAGCGTAGCCTGTGTTGCTCAGTTTACCCTCGTCACAGCTGGGAACGCCACCCACGGCATCCGCCTCGGGGCCCAGCTTGGCCGACACTTGAGCAACCAGCTCAGCAATGCCAGCAGAGGGGAACACGTTAACACGGTGCACACGGCCGCTAGGAGCCTTGAACTTGAACGGGAAGGGGACGTGCTCTCCGTGGTGCGGGTCCACGTGGAATTCAGAGTGCTCGTCGCCGCCATGGTGAGAAGCAGATTCGTTGGGGAGAACGCTGTCTCGGGCGTCATAACTAGCCTTCGGAGACTCAGGGCTGAGTACTGACCGCTGCGCGGGCTGCTGGCTCCCCGAGACCATGGAATCGGACTCGTGATCCATCGACAGCCAAAACTTGTTCCAGGCCGGGCCCTCATCATCATGCGACTGCATGGTATTGATCTAATTGCAAGTTAGACGAATACTTCTGTCCTATCAAACATCCTGTTACTGACCTGTTCCAACGTGGCGTACGTAAGCTTCAGCACATCCACCATTCCCACAATCTCACCCGCATCGTTCATGACGGGGAGGTTGAGGTAATGTCCATCTATACATCCCCCGTATTAGTTTCTTCTCTTGAGCGTAGCAGGGGTAATTGGAGTGACTGACCGTGCATCTTGCGGAGCGCAGCCTGGATACTCATGTCGCTGGGGGCGAAATCAGGGTGAGGGGTCATCACGCGGACGACGCTGCAGGTAGACGGGTCAAGACCAGGAGCAATGACACGCAGCACAATGTCCTTGCTGGTGAAGATACCCGTGATAGAGCCCTGATCCTGTACGAGCAGGGCAGTGGTGTGGTGTTCCCTCATCAGAGCGGCGGCATCCTTGACCGTGGTGCGGACGGAGACAGTGGTTGGGGGCATGCCGTCCAAGACGGTCTCTAGCGTGGGGCCGGACATCTTGTGTCGTAGCGCTTCGACATACTGGATGATCTGCTGGGGCTGACTGGAGCCGAGTTCCGTCTGCACACCCTCCAATGCATCGTAGAGCTTGCGCGACGAACTGTATGCACGTTCCAACTTCTCCATCGCATCGTAGAAGCACTTTGTGATATCGAGAACACCCGAGATATCCTGGTTCTCGTCCATAACCGGCAAGTGTCTGAATCCTTTCCGGACCATGAGGTCAAGAGCGTCGGTGGCACTGGTATCCGTTCTCGCGCACAGAGGGTTCTTGGTCATAATCTCAGACACGGTGATTTCCCGCGCCTTCAGGCCAGTGCCGACCACGCGGAACGCGAGGTCCTTAGCCGTGAAGATACCAGCAATTCGGTCATCATCGTCAGTCACAAGCACGCAGTCTTCTCTCTTCGCGGCCATCAACTGGGCGGCTTCGGCGATGGAGGTGTTCGGCTTGATCTGGAGGGCTTGACTAGGTTTCAATGCGAGGACGGTACCGGGGGGAGCTTTGCGGGAGCGGTTTGCTCGTGCCGGGGCATGTCTCTTCTTGTTGAGGTCGGCCTCCAATTTTCGTCGGATAGCCTAAGTCCATGAGTGGTTAGAAAAGTCAATGGGAGGCATTGAGCAATCAAAATTTCGAAAACCGAGAAACGACATGCAGGACAAGATTTTTTCCAGGTTCACCTCCTTTTTCTCCGAGGCAGTTGCAAACAATCCAAAGGGGGAAAAGCGTGTCCATACCTCATCGCGCTTGGACTGGTTTTGCCTCTGACGGCTGCTGGCGGCACTCATGGTGGAACTGCCAATGTCGCTGGACGCGGTCTGGGGGGTGTGAGTTGTAGAGGAAGTCTCTGGGCGAGGACGTGGAATGTGACTGTCAAAGTCGGGCAGCCTGCCTCTACCGACAGTCTTGTGGCTAATGGTTCCCTTAAAAGTGGGTGTGGATGACATGGCGCCGAACCGGAATGGCGGACCTGTGGTAGGCTGGCAGGTCTGTGTCTCACGAACCGGTCAAGAGAGAGCGGAGAATGCAGCGGAGCGGTGGAATGGAGACACGACCCCCGTGAAGGACGAACGAGGATTGAGAAGTGGTAATGAACCAGAGACAAGTCACGCAAGGAAGACAGATGAAGAGGAAGAGGAAGAAGAGTAAAAAGAGGGAGAGCGAGACACAACGCGATGATCTGGAGGGACGAGAAAGATACGGCAGACAAGCCAGCAGCCACCAAGCCAAACCCAGGGGGGGAAAAAGGTAGAAGCAGATCCAAAGTGGATTCGGCTGGCCGAACTATTTGCTGTTAATGACAGTTTCAGGGAGAAAGAGGGATGGCACGGGGACCACTCACAATACTCGACCTGAGTAAACAGAATACCGTATTGGTGTACCGTAACTTTGGGTCGGGATGGGCCATGTGCGCTAGTCCACTTCGGGACACGGCACGTGAACGCCAGTCGGATCACCCAACTTTTTCAACTTTCTCGCCGATTGCCTGAGGCAGGGGCGGTCAGGCCACCGTCCGCCACTCTCCCGATGTCACCCCTCCGCTTATGCCTCAGGTGTCTACACCCAGCATTAACCGCCTGAGGCCACTCATCCCGTGACCCAGCTCGCTTAAGGGCATAGGGCTACCACACAAACCCGACACAACCTCATCCCGAAGAGACGACTCCGGAGCCTTTACGACAACCAAACCCGACAGCCAAGTACGCGACAACCTCCCTTCCCCTTCTCCCTGACTTACATTCTCTGACCCGTTGCTGCAGAGAAATCCGTCAAGATGGTCAAGAAGAGGGCGAACAAGTAAGACCGAACCCTTTCCTATCCCACCCATCCATGCCACATACCATATATACATATATACACAATCTACGCACACCTGAATGAAGACGGCCGCACGGAAAAGAAAATTCGCCATACATTTATCGCAAAATGGCCCGGCTACCGTACAGTGTTGTGTGATTTTGGGGAAAATATGAAGAAGATTGAAGAAATGGCGAAATTAAAATCGAAAACATGGAAATTCGCAAATTCAAAGAAAAGGAACCGATAAACTAACCTCTTTTTACAGCGGTCGTAACAAGAACGGCCGCGGCCACGTCAAGCCCGTGCGCTGCTCCAACTGCGCTCGCTGCACTCCCAAGGACAAGGCCATCAAGAGATTCACCATCCGCAACATGGTCGAGTCCGCTGCCATCCGTACGTTCCACGATCTTCCTCCATTGATCTGAGTTTTTCCCGAAACCGTCCGCGCGCGCTGTCTGTTCGTTCCGAAAGAGCTGGGAAGTGGGGGTGTTACATGCATGTGTATGCAATGGATCGAAGCGAAATCAACTCGACCGGAATACGACATGGAGCAACAAAGAGAAGGAACCGATACAAACAGCGCGACGCACGAGTGAACGGAATTCGACACAACCCTGAAAGACAACACCGGACTGACTGGTTCTTTTTTTTCCAACTCTACAGGTGATATCTCGGACGCCTCCGTCTTCACCGACTACGCCGTCCCCAAGATGTACCTGAAGCTGCAGTACTGCGTCTCCTGCGCTATCCACGGCAAGATTGTTCGGTACGCCACCCACCCAAAACAACGATGATGAATGCGTCGAAACCATCATCGACCTCCAGAACAAAACACAAAGCTAATATTTCATCCCTATAGTGTCCGCTCCCGGGAAGGTCGTCGCAACCGTGCTCCCCCTCCTCGTATCAGGTACAACAAGGATGGCAAGAAGCTGAACCCCCCTCAGGCCGCCAAGGCTATGTAAGGAAGGAAATGACAACGATTTCAAAATAAAAGAAAAATGGAATTAGTTTAGGGGCCCTTAACTGTTGCTTCTTATAATTTTTCTTTATGTTGTCTGAAAAAAACCACAACCATAACTTCTTTACTATACTTTATGCGGAATTCTTAAATGGAAATGAACGGGTTTCAGTTTCGGGGTTGAAATGAATTATGCGTGCGGAGTCGTGTCTGAAAGACGAAATTCTATACCAAACTTTTTCTAAAACGAAGAACGATCTTTTCTTAAGCTAAACTTGTGTTGTCTCTTGCTTGCTATCTAGAGATACTAGAGGAAAGAGAATTTTTGATTGTATGGATTTGCTCTATATGATCTACTATTGTTTGAGGGGCTGTCCGCGAGGTGTGTACTATCTATCGTACTAGCTCGGTGTGCCCTAGTTGTAGGCATGACACTACACCTCCATAATTACATAGTAAACGACAGTTCTGGTCCTTGTAGTAAACCCCATAAAGAATGTGAAGAGGATGGTACTGTTAATAATATCTCACCTATCGTTCAAAGCCAGCTGTGGGTGATTGTCTACGATGTATGTGATGTCAAACAGTGTAATATATATCGGGTATCATGCTCGCGATCTCTATCAACTACTGGAGAAGTGCCACGAACAAAATAAATGCCCCATCAAGGGTACAAATAGCCCTTCTCGAAATAATTCCCATACATATCTACCATCCCGCTTCGGCCCTTTGGCGCTGGGTTTCGGACAATCTTCACTTCCCCCTTCCAGTGTCCCTCTAAGTAATGAGCAATTGGTGAATGAGGCACTGATGCCGTCGCCAACGTATTTATGCTCGACGACGGCGAGATCGTTTGGAATGAGGAGACGGAAGGAGAGAAGCGAGAGGACATGGTGCCAGCAGTACCACGTCTTCTGCGATCTCTCCTCAAAATTTCCTCATACTCTGCCTTTTTACTACGTCGGAATGCTGCCAATTCGGCGACCAGATCAACGTCTGGTACGTCATTCTGCGGCCCCATTTCTCCATCCTTGTCCAATTGTGGGCTGTGCGAGCGCATGTTCCGAGGTGTAGTCGTGGGGTCGACTGAGTTTGATCTCGAGCGCAAAGGATCTGGATGAAGCATACCTGGTGAAGAGGCCAGATCGAGTTGTAAGGGGTGAACATCGTCATCTTCTGGAATCAACGTCACTTTCTCGTTCAAGGCTGCCATAGGGAAGTATCGCCCTGAATAGAAATCGGGTACTCCGCATTCTTCTTCACCAAAGAAGCTGAAGTCGCCTATTGCTGCTGACCATAGCCTCTCCGAATCGCGATCACCGGTGCTTGACTTTGAAGCTCCTGCCCGGTAGTTGGCTGGCATCCATCTAGATAACTTGCTGGACTTAACTGAAGATGTAATTTCAAGCACCAAGCGACGCAGACCAAACAGAGACCTGGCACGTTCTTGCTCAGCTTTGGCTCGAGCTCTTCCAGGTGCGAGCGAATAATCCGAGCCCGCTTGTAAGGTTGCAAGTAATGCTTCATTTGAGCAAGCGGTTATGAATCGAATAAGCGATTCCAAGATTGGCGAGTTCGGCGGTACGTGAGATGGAACGTCGGTCAAAACCAATGTTTCAAGATGAGGGACATGCGAAGGATGCAGGTACGGAAAATAATACCTTTTGTTATCACGTCGAGGAAGACTTTTCGGTCGCTTAGCAAGCAACTCCTGGATCTTCTGGGCTCGAGAATCTTCGACTGAAAGGGGAGAAGAACATTGCGGGATAGACGCCGCTGCACCAACCGAGATGCTGGAAATGCTAGAGAAGGAGACATCATGGGGCAAGCGATATGAAGCCCTTGCGGCAGAGGTACTGCTCGGACCCTCTTCATCACTGACTTGGTCTGCCCCGATCACCTCGGGAGCGAAGACAGAGCCTCGTCGCAGGTCAGGTAGTGGTTCGTCTTCATAGATGGTTGGCTTTCGAGCCCGCTCGGCGGGCTGCGAAGGCCAGTCCGGAGATTGCGGGACTGGTGAACCAGGAAGCTCGAAAATAGGTGCTTCGTTTGATGCTAGTTCATAAATCTCATGGTTCGTACCTAATTCTGCCTCTGTACGCACTTCACTCTCGTTCCCAGCAGGGAGCTCTGGTAGCAACATGTCCGCCGTTGAGGTCTCCCTTGACGGCGCATCAACTGTACAGACGGCATGATGAGCTCGAAGATAGGTGAGGTTCCCCTTGGCAACCGTCCCCAGGATGGGAATCAATTTCTCAGCACCAGGAAGCTTGTGGGAATCGTCCTGAGGCGAAGCAAGAGAGCTCTGGTTTCTTCCAATAGACTCTATAGTGTCAACGGTTCCCACATCCAGAGCATGAAGGCGAGATGAGAACAAAAGACTTGCGGCCCCTTCTACAGAGATAGGATTCTCGGCGATATAAAGGTGTGTTATGCCTGCATGAGATAAATCCTCAACCCAGGAGCGCCCTGTCAATGGTTGTGTTAAAGCTTTTAGGATTTGTTCATCTAAAAGCGGGGTCCTAAGAAACCTCCTGTCAGACAGCAAGGGTCTCGATTGCGGAGAGTGTGCAAGGGAGCCCAGTGACGCTAGTGTCGCTCGTTGTAATCTATCCTCAGCACCAGGGGGTAGAAAGGATGCCTGCAATAAAGACCGTATGGACATATCAGTAAGTAGATTATTGCGCAGATCCAAAAATCGGACTCTGCGTCCGATGGCATTGGCCAGGAATTCTGCATCATTGTCCTTTAAACCGATACCTCGAAGCTTGAGAACCTGAAGGTTTTCCAACTGTGATAGCGACGACAGAACTGTGCGATCCCGCGCAGGGGTGGTGTAAGACAAATCGAGATAGATCAATTCAGGGAAGCGAAGTAAGGTCTCCGCAATACCGTGTGATGTCGCATTTGGCTCACTATCCGCCAATAGCAGACGGACATTGTAGGTCTGGGAAGCTGTGTCATTTTCTCCAGATGGACTAGATCTTCTCAAGGCGGTCATAGCATTGTGGTCAAAAAATGGTAGCTTTGAGACCATCAACGACTGGAGGCACGGTAGAGCATCCAAGATCTCCTTTAGCCACTCAGGTCGTGGACCACCATAAATCTCCGAGAGCGCAGGCGGCAGATGCAACGTATGGGTGAGCATCCGCACCTTGAGACGGGCATATTTTAGTGTCCTTCTGAACCTTGTGAGAGCGACTAGTGTGTCTTGTCAGCGCCAAACAGCCAAATCAAACAGTCGTGGGATCGTTCAGACCTACCATAAACCGCATCGTTATCCGTTCCAAAGTGGGAAGCGGGATCCCCCCACAGAAAGGGCATGAAGATACCATGCCATTTCTGACATACCAAGACCACTGCGCATAGGTCGCTTGACGGGATGTAGTGTGCTATAACCGACCATGCGTCTCTGGTGGTAGCGGTTTGATAGGAGGGTGGCACAGTATCCATTGTCACAGTTGTACGTTGATGCGACTTCTCTCCACCCGGGTGATGGGGCCTTTAAGCCTTGTCCTAGATCAGGCTAGCAGGATGCGCAGAAAACAGTCTGCAGTACATCGGGAGAAATGATGGGTTGGATAATTTTCTGGACTGGTTGTCACACGCCGCTAAGCAAATGAAACCAAGAGAATAGCGGCCCCCAAAGAGATGCTGCTGACTTGCAGATGGGCGTCGGGCACTGCCACGGTTCACGATGGGGCGAGGGAAGGCCCGAAGGATCCATAGAGCCAAAGAAACTCCATACTTTAATCTGCCGTAGATAATGACATCCTACTGTGGAATATGGAATATAGTAGCACCCCAACCATAGAGGAGAGAATAAAAGCTGAAGAAAAGGGGAGAAAAGAAGCGACGATAAGAACAGACACTGTTATCGTATGGATACAGTAATTGTACGGTCCTCTTTCTGACGTCATCCCCCGCACGGTCAGCAAACCATCGCCGACAAATAAAACCACTGATTCACGGCGCTTAAATGATACGTACTGGCCTCCTCTCTCTTCCAATTCTCCTCTCTTCAAATCCCTTTACTTCATAGGCCAAAATGGAGCCATGGCAGCGAAACATTCGCAGGATGCACCAAGTCAGCGAGGTGCTCGACCTTGACCCTCAAAAGTCCGACATGATCGCCGATTTCGTTGCACTGATCCAAGCAATCCGCGAAGGGCTTACGCAAATCGATGATGATTCCTATATACCCGATTCGCAGATCAATATGCTTTTCTTGACAAAGCTCAAGGAATGTCCTGATTGGAGTGACTGGGCATCTGCTATGCTGCGAGATGGTCGGATGTGCTCCTCCAATCCTACGGAGCAGGTGACCTTCCAGGAGCTGGCCCAATTGGCCATGGAGCAAGAGAAAATCCGTCAGCAGCGGAGAAGGAGTGCATGGGGTACTAGTGGTCATGGTGCTGCCAAGAGAGGGTTTGTATCGCCATTGGAGGTTCCGGAAGATCCTCGCGCTCTCACTCAGGACGAGATCAACGCATTCGTTGTAAAACAGATGCATAAGGATGAGGCATTCCGAAATCGCAGTGGAAGTGTCCGAAGACATGCTAAGCGGCCCAGTCAGGAGGAAATCAATGACTACGTGGTCGAACAGATGCGTCGAGAACGGGAGCAAGCTACGAGGAATCGAAGTCACAGTCAACCGATGCAGGAAGGACCTGTTCAACGACCGGTGCAAATGCGCTGTACCTTCTGTGGTGATAGAAATCACCAGCTTTCAAACTGTTGGCGGAGATGGAGAGTTGCTGTGGAAGCTCCGAATGGGAACTACTTGCCTAAACGTGTCGAGTACAGGACTGAATTTCCGGGCCAACCACCCATGTATCGCACGGGTTTCACGCTTTTCTAAAGGCCGTATGAGACTTGATAATGATTCTTAATCGTGTTTACGATTCTATTCACGTTTATCAGCGACTGGAGTTTAGCCAAGAGCATGGAGTTTGGAGTCTTTCAGCATCATGTACCCCTATGTTGAATATTTGGAGCGATTTCCCCCCCTGTGCTTGAGCGACATACATTCAGGATTCCCATACATAGTTTGCCGTCATTACAATTTTGTTCTTAAGCTCTGAATCAATAGAAAAGCTTCTCATATCCCCTTCTCAAGGCAAAGGTGTAGCCCGGTGATAAGCAAGCGTTGGAATTCCCAATTTCAAGCTCTCGAGATCTTGGAAGGTTGGATCTGACTTCAAAGACGAAGAACTGTCCGGCCACTTCTTCTGCAGAAGCATGCTTCGCAGTCTCATCTGGACAGACACACATGCATCTGCCCACGCGCAGACAGCTCCAGCCAGGCCTTCTGTGAGGGAAAATGGGCGATCAGGCAGTCGGTAGATGTTAGATGTTGGCGTGACGGAACTTTGGTATGGTGGTGTTTCCCGCACATGCAACAGCATCGCCAGCGCTCTCGATAGGAAATAGTCACCGGTAAGCCCGGTATCCAACACTGTTTGGTTAGTAGTCTGTGTTCTCCCCATATACTTCTCCCTGGCAACTTGCATCTCTTCCTTATCATACTCAAAGCTGTCGTGCAGAAGCAACAATGGCCATGCACTACCGGTAATGCCATGACAGATCCCGCCACCTTTGGAGAGCAGTCCTTCTTCCCATACCCGTTCGCTTGCCAGGCGAATTGCTACGTCCCACTCTGGCTGCCAGAAGTTAGAGATCAAGGGCTTGTTCCGCCTGGCGCTTGCCATAAGGGTCAAGATGCCGGGACTACCATGACAAATCTGGACGAGAGGTGAGGAGCGCTTGGATGAAGGGCCACGATCGGGAAGAGTCGTTGGGAGGTGGCCATTATGAGCAATGCATATCTTGCAAAGGCCGGTGATTGTTTCCGCTATCAGGGGCAGGTAATTACGCAAAGCACCGTCGTTGAGCTCTTCAGGATCGCAGGCAAGGAGGGCCGCGAGTATGCCGGCTAGAAAATCTTATCAGCTGAATATACCGGGAGGTTTTCTACATAGACGTAACATACACATTCCATGTACCCTAGTAGATATGTTAGATTTGCCGTTTTGTTGCTCAGCATTTGTGACCATGGTGGGGGCATTACTTACGCTCCTAGGCCATACCGATCTTCATGCCAGTGCCACATCAACGGCAAAGCATTTCTCTCCCCATACTCCTCTAGATAGTCTTCTCTGCCTTGGAGCCCACCCTTGATAATAGCATCAATAAGGTCTGGAACAGATTCGAAAATGGATGCCAGAAGGCCTGTAGCCCTCTCGTCATACTTGTGAGCTCTCACGCTCAGCACAACCCACAATAGACCCGCTCGGCCATACAAAACTTCGTCCGTACCCATCATCCCATCACCGTGTGGTAGCATGTGGGGATTCCCGATTGCCACTTGTACAACATTTCTGAGACATTCGATATCAGCTTCGGACATGGATGCACCGGATTGCGCAGCTGCAAGAATCCGCATCAAAGGTCCCACAAGCACACTTGGGGAGCCAAAAGGTGCTACTCTTCCGGGCAAAAGTGGAATATCAGGGCCATGTGGCAAGATTTGCTCGCTTGCAAGTCTGCGAAAGTCAAGAGGAAGTCCGACATCTTTGTTGCTGAACGCTTTGACCTGATGGTCCAGTCGGAGGAAAGCAAGAGCAATTCCTGCAAGGGAAGATCCATCAGATTACACTTGCCGATATGTTGTGATGAAGCATATCAATCAACCGCTAACAGTGTGAAAGCTATGCGCATACCTGGAAATCCCACATATATACCCGTGTTGTAGGTTTTGCCCCATTCGCTCTGAGGAGGACAGCCCTCCTGCAATAGAGTTGCACCACGATCCACGGCAACTTGCAACTCTTTGAGAGCGTTCTCCAGGGTTTCTTGATTTATATCTAGCGGGGTTAAGTTGTTCGGATAATACTGGGGTAAATCTGTGGTTGACATACTATCGCGAAGGCAGGAGAACTACACTGGAGAGGAGCTATGTATAGACAAATAAAGCTAAGTTATGGGATATGGAGCTCAGTAAGGGTATTCGAGACACAGTTTGATTGATGATATTCGGACTGATTCAGATGAAGTCTGGGTCACTTGGCCAATAGCTTAAATACGAGGATGTAGTAGAGAGGGGAAGAGCCCAAAGATGTGGGTGACGCTTCTGCATCACCTGACCTGCATGATCTACATTCCTCGAAAAGCAACTCCAGTAATGCTTTTATCTGCTGTAATAAGGATTCTTCGGTTTAGATCATCCACCATGCTAGTTGTCTTTGAAGCTGTGCAAGTTTATCTTTGAGATCCTAGCAACCGAGAGCCCCGATGTGCCACAAGCGTCTGTTCTTTCGCCTCGCTTCTTGACGGCCTAATCACTTCCTTAGCCATGCTATTGACAAACCTAGGTAAGTGAGATGTGCATGAGCTATTCTCTTGGGAAACTCAATGCTGAATACAGTATTCGTCAGGGAGTCTTTCTTCCTTGGCTATAATGCGATGCAAGTCCTCCCTGTTTCCCCTCGTTATTGGGTGTACTGGCACTGTCTTGTGGACCTGTCAAGAACGCATGAGCTGGCCGTGTAACAATCACAAACTCTATGTCGCAGTATATCTGCTTACGATCTACAAGCTATAGATGCTTTTTGTTGTGACCACTGGGAGGAGTCGGAAACTATCTTTCATATCTCTCGTCTTCGTCGAGGACTTCATGGGTTTTCCTAGACACAAGTTCCTTGATCGACATCGGCATCAGAGGACATTTTCAGTGATCACCTACATTGAAATCTGTTTCGACTTTAGTCCGCTGTCCCTTTACATCCGTCAATAAAATGACGCATGATTTGCTTTTTGGGGACTCTTCTGAGTTGTCAGAAGTTACTCATTTGAGAGGACTCTTCCACGCAGTTCATCAGTCAATCGATATTTTGGATATGGTCAGACCTTGGATGTTCAGGTCATACGTTGATCGAATCATAGTCAGGCATTCTAGTCGATAGATAAGCCCTGAAAAGGTCTCTCGGACAAATGCGGGTTGCCTAGCCGAAAGCCTGGTGAGAAAAGAACGCATTATTTGACTCGGAATAAATGAGACTAGAGCACAACAAGATCAGGAGACAATCAGCTTTACTAGGATGTATTGGTATGGATCAGGGACCTCGAGCTAGAAATAATAGCCAGGGCCACGGATGTGGACGATACTCGCGCAGTGATTCTCCAGTGGCATTACTCCCTACAATATGTTGGAAACTTCTCATGGGAATCAGAATCCAACAGATACATTTAGGTCAATTTCGACTTGCACAGTTTACATTTCTATTTGACAGGTATGATCAGTATCAAGGCATTTGCAACTTGAGGCCTAAAACAGAGATGTCTCCCTATGTCGCGCAGATGAGCGTTTTACGTCGCATCCATTATCTTGATCTACTTTACAACGAGCATATGGATCTAGCTTGACTGACAAAAATAATCCGCATTCTGGGCTAAATTGCTCAAATGTCTGTGACTTCCTTTCCCAAGTCCTATCTCTAGATACTCCACTTTCCCCCAAACCTGTGCCAAATCCACTCCCTCCCCTGTTTAGCGGTCGCAGCTACTGCTGAACATTTTGCGGCGCTTCTCGAGAGACACTGTCTCCTGTATATTATTGGCTTGGATAATTGGGTCGATCGGCAGGCTATTCCCAATTTATGGTCTAGACGATCGACTTCAGCTGTGGCCGCTTCAGCTGAGCCAGCCTAGGTAATCTCGGTTACGCATTACTTCTCTGTGCTCGGGACGCGTACAATGCGTCTCTACTATTCCTCACACGAACTTGAACTGAAACACACGGCTGGATATCTACCCTATACCTGCTCATATTTGGCTTCTGTTTGTTAGTTAGGGGTGATTGAGGGGAATCTGCGCTAAGGGTACACCACCCCTGTAGCCTTTGAACATGGGGTAGGGAGACGGCAAAGACCACGTCCATCGCCACCGGATATGATCAGTCTAGTAGTTGCGACACCCTGCATACAGACTGCCCTCAAGATCATTGTATCATGATGTGAGCATTCCGTAAGCGAGCTGGTGAGACTTATACTAGTTACCAACGCGGTAGACGTAATGCTACTCGAGGTCCCAGGGAGCATATGAGAGAATAATCAATGGCAATCGCGGGTTATCTCTTAAAAGATACTTGTTCACTGTCGTGTGGATCATTTAGGATCTTAGTAGCGAACACTACATATGAGATCCCATGCACTGTAGAGTGATAAGTAGGATTACTACTATCACCGTCATAGTCCTCAGAAGAATCCCGACCCCGCCACTCTACGACATATATCTGGGTGGCTACCTGGCAGACATGATGGGATTGAATAACCATAGTAGTACATTAAAGAGAAAATCTATAGTGTTCATAACTCGAGTAAAGAGTGCTATGCCAGTACCCCGAACTAATATTTGAGAAAGCATTATTGTCAAAGTTCCATTCGTATTATGCTGGAATCTGGTGGGGTTCAAATGATTAGACAACAGGAACGGTTCAGGGATGTGATGGACGAAGTGGGCTCAGATGGTGAGAAATCAACCTTATACAGCAAAAGAATATGAATATGAAGCAATTCAAGAATTTGCTAGAAAAAGTACATTCGATATAATCACATTATAAGACTTTCCATAATGTCAAGGTAGTGTTTTTGAGGGGGAAAAGCAGCAAATAGGGCTGCGGGGCGCGGCATGATTGGTCACCGCCTCCAGCACTGGAGAGTTTCGATCCCAAAGAAGCTCGGGGAAATTTTGGTCGAGCAGCGATATCGAACCCCCGACCAGCTAGGACACTCAGGGCCACGATCTCATCTTTCTATAGCCCCTTGTCCGTTGGCTCACAAACTTCCTTTTTCTCCGCCGTCTTTCCCTGAAATAATCTCATCAAAATGGCCTTCGCTGGCCAAGCACCCACGATCATCGTGCTCAAGGAGGGTCCGTCAACCCGCCCGCATTTGCATTGGCATCTGTGTGTCATCGCTGAGAGATTTTGCTGACTCCGTTGATTGTTTTCTTTTGCTTCAGGCACCGATACCTCCCAGGGCAAGGGTCAGATCATCTCCAACATCAATGCCTGTGTTGCCGTGCAATCCACGATCAAGAGCACTCTCGGTCCTTATGGAGGGGACCTGTTGATGGTGGACGGCAACGGTAGACAGACCATCACCAACGATGGAGCTACTGTGATGAAGGTGCGTCTGGGAACACACTCCTATATTCTTCCTTCGGAAGTCTCCAGGCAATATTCATTCATACTTTATTTTACTTCGTGAGCTTACTTGTCCTTGTCTTCTGTTCTAGCTTCTCGATATCGTTCACCCCGCCGCCCGCATTCTCACGGACATTGCCCGCTCTCAAGATGCTGAGGTCGGCGACGGAACAACGTCGGTTGTCGTCCTCGCCGGTGAAATCCTGAAGGAAGTTCGCGAACTCGTTGAGCAGGGTGTCAGTTCACAGACCATCGTCAAGGGTCTACGGAGGGGAAGTGCGATGGCCGTCAACAAGATTAAGGAGATCGCTGTGGACGTGATCGAGTCTGCGGGAAGTGAGGAAAAGAAGGTTGAGACGCTCCGCCGTCTGGCCGGAACGGCGATGAACAGCAAGCTGATCAAGCGGAACTCGGAATTCTTCACCAAGAGTAAGGGGTTCCCCCCCTATCCATGGTGCTGTGTTGTTCGTGGGAACAGATGCTGACTAAATACCCTAGTGGTGGTGGATGCCGTGCTGTCGCTCGACCAGGACGACCTTAACGAGAAGCTGATCGGTGTGAAGCGGGTTACTGGTGGTGGTCTTCAGGAATCCCTGTTCGTCAACGGTGTCGCCTTCAAGAAGACCTTCTCGTACGCCGGTTTCGAGCAACAGCCCAAGTACTTCAAGGACCCCAAGATTGTCTGCCTGAACGTCGAGCTGGAGTTGAAGAGTGAGAAGGACAACGCCGAGGTGCGCGTCGAGCATGTGTCGGAGTACCAGGCCATCGTCGATGCCGAGTGGCAGATCATCTACAACAAGCTGGAGGCTATCTACAAGACCGGAGCCAAGGTTGTTCTCAGCAAGCTCCCCATCGGTGATTTGGCTACGCAGTATGTTCTCCCGCACTGTTTCCTGGCAATTGGTCTACATGCTTACATTATTTCTCTTCGTCTACAGATACTTTGCGGACCGGGATATCTTCTGCGCTGGTCGCGTTGCGGCCGATGATATGGATCGGGTCTGCCAGGCGACCGGAGCGGCTACCCAGTCGACCTGCAGCGACATCCAGGAACGCCACCTGGGTACCTGCGGTATTTTCGAGGAGCGCCAGATCGGTGGTGAGCGTTACAACCTCTTCTCCGAGTGCCCCAAGGCCAAGACCTGCACCCTTGTGCTGCGTGGTGGAGCGGAGCAGTTCATCGCCGAGGTCGAGCGCAGTCTGCACGATGCCATCATGATTGTCAAGCGTGCTCTCCGCCACACGACCATTGTCGCGGGTGGTGGTGCTACCGAGATGGAACTGTCCAGCTTCATGCACGGCTTTGCGGACCGCAACGTGCCCCACAAGCAGCAGGCGGTCGTCAAGGCGTTCGCCAAGGCCCTGGAGGTGATCCCCCGCCAGCTGTGCGATAACGCAGGTTTCGATGCGACGGATATTCTGAACCGGCTGCGGGTGGAGCACCGCAAGGGCAACGTCTGGGCTGGTGTCGACTTTGATCACGAGGGTGTTCGGGACAACATGGCGGCTTTCGTGTGGGAGCCCAGTCTGGTCAAGGTGAACGCCATTCAGGCGGCAGTGGAGGCTGCATGCTTGATCTTGAGTGTGGACGAGACGATCAGTGAGTACCCCCGTGATATAGTGTTACCCCTAAGCCCTATAGTATCTTTTAGGCTGACCGATGGTGATTTTCTTTTTCCCCTCCAGAGAACGAAGAGTCGGCCCAAGCTCAGGCCCCAACACGAGGCCTGCCGCCGGGTGCTGCCCAGCGGGCGCTTGGAGGAGGCCGCGGACGTGGCATGCCCCGACGTGGACGGTAAATGTCGGAAGACGAAGGATGGATTGGGATAGGTTGGAGGGAAGGAGAGAGGTACCACTAGTACAATAAAGCAAATTTCGAATCTCCCATAACTATAAAGGGGAAAATTTGAGTTGTTTATAATCAGTGCCTGAGGTGTCTGTTTACTACCTACGTATGGGAACTATTCATTCTTCGGTGTAGCTGGTTCTTGTACAGTCACGTGGCAGCAAGCAGGAAACACGCAGGGATTGTGCATGATGGAAGATCTACTATTTGTAGAGAATGAACGATTGGGAATTTTCTGGATGAGTGTTCTGGGCCCAAGGGGGTGGATAGGCAAGTCCGTGCTATTTAAGGTGTGGATCGGGGGGAGGACATGGGGAATGCAGGAATTGGCTGGCTGTCTGAAATTGGGCATGTTCGTTTATTTGCTTATGGCGGAAGCAGAAGCACAGCAGAGACAGACACCAGAGAAAGAGAGAGTCCAAAAAGGGATTCGGGGAGACCGAGGCATGCTTTGTTTTTCTGCGCCGGAGGGACCGAGTGGAAAAAGGAAGGAAGGATGGACGTGCGTCGTGCAGGGAGACCATTAACATATTAATTTAATTAGTCGTGCCTTTCCTCGAGGAGTAAGAATCGCCCATCAATTTTTTACTTTTAGTTTTAGTTTCCCAGTGATTTGGGTCTTTATTAGTATCTATTTACTACTACTTCTTCTGTATTGATTCTGCCCCTTCTTTCTCCCCGGTCCGGAACCCAATCGGCGCGATCCGCTCCACTGGCTTATGCTGCAAATCTGCCATCGGTTCTCCATCTGACTGAACTGACTGACGCCTGCGCCTTTTCTTGTTCCTCCTTCATCCTTCCCTCTTCCACCTTTCCCCCCCAATCCCTCCCGTTCACTCACCTCTTATTTGTCTGCTTCCTGCCGGCTTGCATTCTCATCCTCACATCAACCTTTTTTCTGGTTTCACCTGATCGCTTTCCCTTCCCCCACTCCCCCCCCTCCTCCTCTTTCTTGTCAGACCATGTCCTACTATCCACCTTACTCGGGCCCGCCCGGGTACCCTCCGCAGCAATATTCCTATCCTCCGCAGCAGCAGAGCTATGGCTCCCCGCCCCAATATCAGCAGCCGTGAGATCTCCTTGCTTGCTCCCCTCGTGAGATTTTGTTCTCCATAAACTCTCAGTCTCTCTTTAATATTTTCATCACAAATACGAAATCGCTACTTCGAGACGTCGCGCTGACGTAGCTTTGGCAGACAGATGAATCCTCACCACTCACACCACCACTCGTCCTACGGGGGCGGTGGTTACCCCGGCCAGGCTTATCGCCAACAGCAGCCTCCCAGCAACCCTTACCCCTACAGCCAGCCCTCTCCTCAGCAGTACCAAGGATCGCAACCCCCTCAAAACGGATACAATGTATGTCTTGCATGATGCGTCGCTGTTCTGCATGTTGGTGGGTATGGGTGGAAGCTGACGTCGCTTCTCTAGGGTGGCTACCCTTCTGCCAGCCAAGGCCCGATGTATGGGGGCCGGCCAGGTATGTCGCCGCTGCGATGTTTTGTGCAAGCTTCTATCCCAACTGACGCCTCTTTTAGGTATCGCCGATGTCTACCATAACTCCTACAACCAAGGCAACCACAGCGCCCCTCCGCCGCCGCCCAGCGAACCCGTCAGCTTCGGCCAAGGCGCGCCGCAGGGTTACAACTTCCAGTACTCGCGCTGCACGGGCAAGAGAAAGGCGTTGCTGATCGGTATCAACTACTTCAACCAGAAGGGCCAGCTGCGCGGATGTATCAACGATGTCAAGAACATGTCCACCTACCTAAACCAGAACTTCGGTTACGCTCGCGAAGACATGGTCCTCCTGACGGATGATCAACAAAACCCCATGAGTCAACCCACCAAGGCTAATATTCTTCGGGCTATGCACTGGCTCGTCAAGGATGCCCAGCCGAACGATTCGCTCTTCTTCCACTATTCTGGTATGCCGTCCTCATAATCCCGATTTGCTGGACTGGGGCTGACAGTAGCAGGACACGGTGGACAGACGCCTGACCTCGACGGTGACGAAGACGACGGATACGACGAAGTTATCTACCCGGTCGATTTCCGGGCTGCCGGCCACATTGTCGACGATGAGATGCACCGGATCATGGTCAAACCGCTGCAGCCGGGTGTCCGACTGACGGCTATCTTCGATTCCTGTCACTCGGGTTCCGCACTCGACTTGCCCTACATCTACTCGACCCAGGGTATCCTCAAGGAACCCAACTTGGCCAAGGAGGCGGGCCAGGGCCTGCTGGGTGTGGTTTCGGCTTACGCGCGTGGCGACATGAGCGGCATGATGTCGACGGCCGTTGGGTTCTTCAAGAAGGCGACCAAGGGCGATGAGGCGTACGAGCGCACCATCCAGACCAAGACCAGTCCAGCCGACGTTATCATGTGGTCCGGCAGCAAGGACGACCAGACCAGTCAGGACGCCCAGATCGCCGGCCAGGCTACCGGCGCCATGTCCTGGGCCTTTATCAGCGCGCTTCGCAAGAACCCGCAGCAGAGTTACGTCCAGCTGCTGAACAGCATCCGAGACGAGTTGTCCACCAAGTATACGCAGAAGCCGCAGCTGAGCTGCAGCCATCCCTTGGGTAAGCAGTCGCCTGTCGCTTCGTGATTAGGAAGATGGAATTTTCTGACGGAATCATTTAGACGTGAATGTGCTCTATGTTATGTAAATAGTTGCTTTGTAATTTGCGGGGTGCTTGCGGGGGGTAGTCATTTCTCTTCATTCGGAATAGGGCAAAAGGGTTTCAGTCAATCTATTGTTTACTTTTCTTACTTCCCCTTCCCCCTTTCTCGCTAAGCATGAGATGGTTATGATCGCCTTGATATGTCTGAGATGCCTCGTTATGCTTTGCATGCATTATATGTGACTGGGACGGGGACAGCAATGAACGGGACGGGGTTGGTTTTCGCTGTTTATATTGAAAAAGAAAGACTGATAAATCAACGTCAATCGATCAACAAATAACGACTCAATCCATCCATAATAGTAAATCCCATCACGGTATCATTCATTACATTCATGCCTATTTATTTATATGTACCCATGAGATGCATGCTCATATCATAACTTTTGTAACGTCCAAACCCATCCAGTCCCATCCGAACACGATCAAGAATAAAGAAAGGATTTCCCTACCACCTCTTCGGCGCATCCACCACCGTCCTCGAAAACGACGCACTAAACGTCTCCTTCTCCTTCTTCTTCTGCGCCGCAATAATCCCCGTTCGATCCGTCACCGGCGTCGCATTGATAATACTATCAAACGCCTCATCCTCACTCCCCTCCGCGGACCCAGACTCAGCATCCGAATCCTCCAACGGCCTCGACTTCGCCCCTTCCTCCTCCGGTCTCGCAATCTTCTCCGGCTGCGGCTTATCCGAAGCCGAGGGATTCTGGAACGACTTGGAATTTAGAATTTTGGCTCGAATAGCAGCCATTTGTTCCTCTTCTTCCGAGTCGTCTGATATCGCAAAGGGGTCTTTATCTTCTTCTTCCTCTTCTTCCTCCTCCTCTCCCTCTTCTCCCTCGTCCTTATCAGACCCCGAACCCTGCTCCTCGGAATCCGACTCGGCCCTCCGATTCGTATTCCCCACCGTCCAAATATCGTCTGCGCCGCCTGCGGCCCGACTCTCCTCATATTCCCGCTCGATCTTGGCGAGCCATTCCTCCTCGGCGCGCTTGATTTCGTCTTCGTCGGCGCAGGCGGCGTACCGCTTGAGTAGCTTTCCGTTGATTTCTAGGAAGGCTTCGCCGTAGCGGAAGGGTTTGAGGACTTGGCGGGCCCAGTCTTCGTGGCCGCAGATGCAGAAACAGGCCGCCAGGGCTTCGACGCAGTTTAGGCGCCAGGGTTTGCCGTAGTTGACTGTGTTGGCGGCGATGAGGTAGGGTACTATTTTTCATTCGGTGTTAGTGTTGTTGGTGGTGTGGGTATTGGTTGTAAGTTGGGGCATACAGAGTCGTTCGCATTTTCCTCCGATTCGCGACCAGGGCACTTCCTTCACTCGCACCCAGGAACATTCTACTACTGCGGCACCGAATTGTTCGAGGAGATCTTTGTCGGCCGGGGAGATAATCTTCTTTGCGTTGGGACTGGAGGGATGTGATGTGAGTATTAGCGATTGGGGGTTCTCTGCGAGTCTTTTGTGTAGAGGGTATGGGTGACAACGTACGAGACAATTACACCCGGGAATCGCTGGCCGATCTGCAGCTCGCGCATCAGACCAAAGTTCATCAATCTCTTTCCTGAGCAGCGCTTGGGATCACAGTGACCCAGATCCCAGCAGGCGGCTTTGAAGGGAGGTCTGGAGGGGCGGTCGGCATCATCGGCGTCAGGGTCGGCGGGATCGCGGCGGGGAGGACGGGGACCCTTGGAGGAGAATTTCTTGCCTCCTCGAGCGAAGTTGTCTTTTTTATGGCGGACCATGGTGGATATGTGTTGTTGTTGTTATTGTTGTTTTGAGTGACAGTGGAGGTGATTGAAGAACTGCGGAAAATTATTGAAGAGGGGAAAGTTGAAAGATGACGGCGGGCGCCACACGTGGAGTGGGAAAACGAACTAAAGCCAGCCAGCCAGCGGGAGTCAGTGAGTCGGGCAAGTAAACCAAGTCGGTTGGTTCCATTTCGAGCTACTAACTTAACTCATCCCCTCTCTATCTCTCTCGCTCACTCACTCTGTTGTCTCCGGTCCTTTCCCCTCACTCTCCGCCCTGAGTCCCAGTCCTGTTCGACTGACTCCCTTTTATTTCAATTGTGCTATTTATTTTCTCTCTCCCCTTTCTCCATCTTACACAGAATCCGCCGTCACCCTGGAGGCCGCTTCAGCACGCATGGCAGCGAGGGACCGTTTCGGTGCCTACGCTGAGCCGGGCTTAACACCGCTGCAACGGGCTGTTCGTACGTCACCCCTGTTCTTTTTGTCCCTCCCCAAAAGCAACACACACACCAATACAGAATTGTTCTGATTTTTTGGTTGGCTAAATATTTACGACTCTTACAGGAAATGCCTGCGACTTGTCGCACTACGAACCCAACCTCGCCCTGAACCTTGAAGTGGCCGATCTGATCAACTCCAAGAAGGGCAATGCGTGAGTTGCTACTTACTACTGTGTCGCGTCCACCGACCCGCGCCGTTAAAACTAATCCACTCAACCCTCCACCCTTCTAGACCTCGCGAAGCTGCCTTCGAAATCGTCCATCTAATCAACTCGCGGAATCAGAATGTGGCGTTACTAGCATTGGCGGTAGGCTTTTGTCCAGATATATTGAATAGAGCTTAGATGTGCCTGAATGCGGGGCTAACATTCCACCCCTGCGACTCTTGTCACCCGTTTAGCTTCTCGACATCTGCGTCAAAAATTGCGGTTACCCATTTCACCTCCAGATTAGCACCAAAGAGTTTCTGAATGAGCTGGTTCGTCGATTCCCCGAGCGCCCGCAGCTGCGGCCGACTCGGGTGCAACATCGCATCCTCGAGTCCATTGAGGAGTGGAGACAGACGATCTGCCAGACGTCGCGGTACAAGGAGGATCTAGGCCATATTCGTGATATGCATCGGCTATTACTCTACAAGGGTTATGTGTTTCCGGAAATTCGCCATGAGGATGCGGCCGTCTTGAACCCGAGTGATGTACGTGATCCCGCCCCCACTGGTTCTAGGGAGTGTTGCTGACTAGTGGTATCCGAATAGAATCTGCGGTCCGCGGAGGAGATGGAAGAGGAGGAGAAAGAGGCCCAGTCGGCTAAATTGCAGGAGCTGATTCGTAGGGGTACGCCTGCGGATCTGCAGGAGGCTAATCGTCTGATGAAGGTCATGGCCGGGTACGACAACAGACACAAGACTGATTACCGGGCTAAGGCGGCGGAAGAGGTCGCCAAGGTGCAGCAGAAGGCGAAGATCTTGGAGGAAATGCTACAGAGTCACCAGCCCGGTGACCCGGTCGCGGAGGGTGATGTGTTTGAGGTAAGCTTGGGGGTGCGCGCTAGGTCTCGTTTGATTGTCAACTGACTGTCGGGTTGCTAGGAACTGGCCGGGGCGCTGCAGAGTGCCCATCCCAAGATCCAGAAGATGTGTGAGGAGGAGTCGGATGATCCGGAGGCGGTTCACAAGTTGCTCGAGATCAATGACAGCATACACCGGACCATTGAGCGGTACAAGCTCGTCAAGAAGGGCGACTGGGAAGCCGCCACACGGATCCCCAAGGGCACACTGGGCACGACAACAGGTGTATCGAAGAACGCGAACAACCAGCTGTCGCTTATCGACTTCGACCCGGAACCTCCTGCCAGTGCCAGTACCAACGGCAACGGTGCGCCGGCCGCGACCGGGGCCAGTTCATTGGAGAACGACTTGCTGGGACTGTCAATAGATGAACCCGCTCCGGCTGTGGGTGGTATTTCGTTAGGACCATGTAGGAGACATCTGCTGCTGACATGAATGAGTTGACATGGCTAATGCTCGTGCTAGCGATCACGACCACTGCTACACCGCCAGTGCCGCAGGCTCCTGCTGGATTCAAGCCGAACTACGACATCCTGTCCTCGCTGGGCAGCTCTTCTCAACCGCCATCTCAGTCAGCCACTCCGGTGCCAAGTGCACGACCCCAGAGCATCGTCGCGACGCCCACTCCCCCACCGGCTGTCGACCCATTCGCTTCGCTGGTATCCGCTAGTCCCCGGCATGCCAGTCCCCTCCCGTCTGGAGGATCTGCAGCCGGCCATGCAGCCGCTGGGGGGTCCCTGCTCGATCTGGCAGGAAGCGGACCGACGCAACCGGTTGGCAGCAGCGGCAAGGCGGCGGAGGAGGACGAATGGAACTTTGCATCGTCGCTGCCGGAGAGCAACACACTACCGAGCACCAACCGAGTGTCGGTATTGAATTCGGCGCTCCGAATTGAATTTGTGGCGCGACGACACCCCCAGCAGTCGCAGCAGATCCATGTGGTGGCCCTGTTTTCGAACGGCACGAGCCAGCCACTGAACGAACTACACTTCCAGGTGGCTGTGGAGAAGGTGAGTCGTAAAGTTCTGCCCGCTTCCCTTCGGACAGGGCATGGAAACCAACGGACAGAAGAGGAAGAAGCTAAACAACTCCCACAGGCGTACACGTTGCAACTCCGCCCGCAGTCCGGGCGGGACATTGGACCGCTGCAGAACAACGGGGTGCAGCAGGAGATGCTCATCTCCGGGGTAGCGGGGGGCAAGGGCAACTCGATCAAGATGCGGTACCGAGTGTCATACCGGGTGGGCAGTGAGCACAAAGAGGAGCAGGGGATGGTGCCGTCGTTGGGTATAGCCTGATTTGATAACTTTCCATTACTTACACTTTTTGTCGAACAGGATTTAGTCTCCCTTCTTTGATCCCCTCTTCCCCCCCACACCTCCTCTTTTTTTTCTCTTCTCCACCGTGTTTGATGAGAGGGGAAGAGGGGATTGTTTGAAAGTGTGATTGATAGCTTTTCTTCTCTTGCTAGCTAGCCCTGCATAGTTGCCTGCCGTTGTGTGTGGATGATTTAGTGTTTTCTTTTTTTCCCCCTTTATGCCGTGTATACCAACTCAAGCAAGTTTGACAGCCCGCCCCCAACCTACACCAACTCCTCCTCAGATAGGTAGTAAGTAGTAAGTAGTAGCATAGCTAGTTAGTAGCTTCCTATGCCCAAATGAATTTAACCAACTAAACTAAACCAAGTAATGCACAAAACAAAAGACAAAAGACAAAAGACAAATCAATTGTCCCTGTATTGTCACACCCAATCCAATCAATAATCCATCCATTATCACCATCCATCCATCCATCAATCTACATTGTATGCATTGCATGCACACATCCAAGCAACACACCCATGTTTCCCTCCCCCTCGCCCGACCGGACTCACGGACCAAACGCCCCCCATCCCCCCCGTCTAGAACCAGCCTACCTTCCCACCACCACATGTGCTGGCCCTCTAAACTAAGTAACTTAACCTAGGTACTGAGTTTTCTTCCTTCCTTCCCACCACCCTGGGTCAATGTAAATTCTTCCCCCCTAGCTGCAGCCACACAACGACGAAAGCCAAGCCTACCCAAGGGACAGGGATTGGACGAAGGAGGAACATGGCACTGGCAACAAACATCATATCCCGCGAGTCAGTCCACAAGTTCCCCGGGGTTGTCCGGGGTTGTGGTACCATGTTCTGTGTAGGTACGTATGGTACGTATGTGGGGTTGCGCCTCTTCCATCTCTCTCTGTATGTCTCTCTTGTGGCGAAAATAGGGGGGCGAGGGGCGAGAGGCGAGGGACAGGGGACGGGGGACGGGGGCTAGCTATACTGTATGTATGGGATGGATGGATGGCGGCAGAAGCCGATGCGGAAACTAGGACTAGAACGGAAGAGGTAGAGGGAGGGGGTAAAGGATAGAGCCCGAAGGATTGGGACTTGGTCTTGAGAGAGGCTAGATGTGAAGAGGTCTAGGTATACAAGGCCGAAGGATGGGCTCTTGACCGTGTGTGTGTGCTGGAATGGGAAAGTAGACGAGCATGCTCGGGGGCGTACCTTAGCGTCCGAGGTTGTTGGTCTAAGTACCTGGGTAAGGGGGTAAGGGGATTTACGAGATGGGCAGCTGGAAGGAGAGGGAGGGGGGATTGTACCTGGGGTTTGGGTAGGTGGCGTGGCGGTGGCTACGGGGGTTTTAGTTTGGGTGGTGGTTGTTATCCAGACTAGATTCCGTGGGTTGAGAAGTGGTCTGTACGTCCTGTATGGAGGGATGGGGAGGGTGTACTTAGGGGAGGCGATTAGATTGTGAAGGTATTTACTTTTCAGGTCAAAGTAAGTTGGTTGGTATGGGTGATAATGTCTATGTTTGTTGTTTAAGCGAGGTGTCCTAGGATCTTGGCGATGGTCTTGTTATTCTACTCTATACTGGAATGCTGTTTGTTGTCTGTGGAGTGAGATAGGTTGATCCACACAGACAAGGTAGAGGAATTCCCAGATTAGGTATGCGTTAGGATGATTGAAAAATAGATCCACATCCTTGTCTACTGTTGATCTCGCTGTTAATCGGTCTAACAATAATGTCCGTGTGTACGGGGAAAGATAGTAGAGAGATTGTGGCTTGGACTGAAGATCTGGCAGGTGGAGGCAGATGGGAAGATCAGCGGTGGAGAGAAGCAAGATTGAAATGGCTAGTGGTGGTAGTGGTGGTGGTGAAAGTTACGAGGCCGAACAAATCCCCGATGTTCCTACAGTAGCGCGTACGCTCGGATTACGGGCGAAAACCCGCGCATCTGTCACTCTACCCGATACGGTAATGATAACCAGTTGTGGCCAATCACACAGTAAGATCGGACCTGGCCGATCTCTGCACTAGTTTAGGCTGTCCGGCTCGTACTACTTAGTACTAGTGTATCTAGTAAGATTCTCGTACGGTATAGGAGTTACTGGGAAGTATCTTCTCGCTGGAAATGATACTGACAAGATACCTGCTAGCGACTTCATGTCTGGCATTGGCAAGATCGATCGTGTTTCCCCATCACGAGGATCATCCTGGGCAACGATGTCTCCGCTTCGTGTGTAGCTTCCCCCCCTCTCGATCTGCTATCTCCTCTCGAAGTACCTCTTCTCCTCTCCTCTTCTCCCCATCTCATCTGCTTTTTTCCTCGTCTGCTTATCTTTATTCGCTTTTCTTTTCGTCGACTAATATTGTCTGCTACTTCCTTCCTCACTTCCTCTGGTTTCTCTGGAAAATGGTTCCGGTTCGCTTCTAGTCTTCCCCTGCTAGTCACCCACTTCAGACTTCCGCTCTTCCATGGGATCCAGTCTCCTCCCATGTCTGAGTCCCGGCTCTGCAAGAACCTTGCACTGTCGCTCGTTCCATGGTTCCATCAGAGCCTGACTTTTGGTCGGCCCTTGTTTCGGCGACCCAGACTTGCCCCAGCACTGGATGTCTCGTCTAGACTCGGCCCTTGGCTGGCTGAGCTGTTGTGACCTGACAGCTAAACTTCGCTGCTTGAACCACTCCCGGTGTCAACTTTACTGACGCTCTGCTCACTGTTGGATGCCCCTCCTTGGCTGCCGTTATTCCAACAGCTGCCATTTTATTTAACTTCAACCCCCCGTCTTTTTCTGTCCCTTCCCTTCTATTATTGTTTTCTTGTGTACAAGGCGTGGTGAAACATCTCTCACCTTCCTCAACATACTACTGCCGATCTTGCAGTCATCTGCTCCGTCTCACTGCTTACGCACGCCGCGCCACACATCACACCATACTGCCTTAAGTGCCACACTGCTTTACCCGTCACTGTCCGCTACAATCACTCACGATGGGCTCTCCCGCCATCGATGTGGATGTTTGTCCCAATCCCCGCACAAAGGAGGAGAACCAGGAACGGTAGGCTATCTATTTGGCCACTATTTCTCTGCCTGCAAGCCCGCTGACGAGAAAACAGTGCCTTCATAGCCGCCTCCCGTCGTAAAGACCGCAGCTTAGATGCTCGCGTGGAATCGGCCAACCGGGCCTCCAGCCTGCACAAGCAGCGGACCGGCAAGGCTCTCCTCATCAGTCGGGAAATTGTTGAACGAGAGGCCATGTACGAAGAGGTCGATGACCGCTACCAAGAGAAAATCAACCGCATGCTGCATGCTCAGTCGATGCAGCTGCAAACCGAGTTCAACCGCAATCTCATGGCGGCTTTTGCGAACCGTCCTAGTGCTCTGCACCAGCGTCGGGCCAGCTCCCAACTCAACCCGCGGGCGTCTCTCAACGGCATCCGCAAGATGAGTCTGGACTTGTCTGGGCTTCGTGCCTCTGTCTCCGACGGTATGAGCACCGGACCAATGACTAGCCCGTTGGCACCACACCAGGGTAGCTATGTGCTTTCCCCCACATACGACGGAAATTCCCAGTCGCCGTCGTATCCCAGCGTCTTCCCCGCGTCGTCGGGCCAACTACCATCCTACCTCACCCAGACCGCGGGCGGACCCACCTGGCCGGCGCAGCTGAACGGGCCGCAGCCCATGCGATCGCCTTGGACAGGAGGGTTCGTGTCGCCGGTGCAGCAGGTCCCGGCCACTACGATGGGCGAAATGGGCGCCATGCCGGTTCGTCAGTTCCGGGACCGCATGGGTTCGGCGCCGGTCATTCCCGTTCACGCGATGCCTTCCCCCTTGCTTGCAACTCCCGCGGCGTCTAGCAACAGCAGTGCTACGGTGCCTCCCACAACAACAACGTCGTCCTCGTCCTCAACTGTGTCGGCCGGTCCTCGACCGGCCCACCCGATGTACCAGCACACTCGAGTCCGGTCAGAGCCTGGCCAAGCTCTGCGGACGCAAAGCTTAGCCAACCTGTCTCAGCTCAACTCTCCACCAGGCATGCCGATGGATTCCACAGAGCCAGTGCCGACACCAGACTTGTGTCCGACACCCAGCACACCACAGTCCCCCACATCGACGGGGCAGGACCCGGGTCTTTGGGGGCTAGACCTGAACAAGGACGAGGGGGTGATGGGATATGCACAGGAGCACCATATGGATCCTGACTATGAAGATTTCAGCCGGTTCGCATTTGGGCTTGGCAGTGGTCCCCAGCTGCCGGAATCGGAAACGGCGTTTGATGAATTTTTTACCATGGAGGATTTTCCCGTCAGTGCATGAGTACCCTATACGTTGAGTGATTACTTTGCTCTAAACTATGTTTTAGTATTGATTTATTTTTCTTCTTTTCTTTTGTCTGTTTATTATTGTTACTACTACTACTACTACTACTTCCTTTGAGTGGGGACTTGCTGGCTTGGTTGGTGTCGTGTGTACGAGGGGAGACAATACCCGGGAGAGCGGCGTTGACCAGGTGATCCATAGCGAATGCTATACCTTTGCTTAACTTGACATTTTTCATGGGTTGGTAGAAATTCAGCCATCTTCGTAACTTCACTCTCCTCCAAACCCCAACAAACAAACTTCAGGGCCAGTAAAGTGGATCCCCACCGTCCTGAGCTATCTAGCTAGACCGGGTGAAGCTCTTCAAGCTCCAGGGAACCTGGTGGGTGGAGAATTTGGAGATGAGGTTACATTTCCGCAAACAGCGAACACGAATGCATCGATTTTCCTCAACATAGTCCAGGACCCGTTCGACCACCTGGAACTTATAATTATAAATTAGTGGAAATGAAAGAAAATTTTCATCAGATCAAAAAAATCCCGCGGCCATTTATATTTTCTCAGCGGGATGATGTGCATCATAATGGCTTAATAGTTATAATACGAGTTACACAAAGAAAAAAAAAACCTCCTAAGAACTTAGATGAAGAAATGGTTTATGAGGACATAGGGTGATCATAGTGTAGTAGTGTATTTAGTAGCTTTTTTGTTGGGTTATCTGATGCGGGTAGTAGTAATATGGATAATAACTTGAATAACATGAGGAATTTAGATAAATTAGATTGGTGAGTATCAGCTAAGTTTGAATGTAGTGAGTGAGTGACATGGGAGCTACGTCCGTAGTTACTACAGAGCCAGTCAGTCTATAGTAATAAACATTGATAAAAAAAATAAGGAAGGATTGGAGGGGAGTTTACTCTCCAGATAGATAGATTGGTTACTACTATAGTTAGTAGGTAATAGGTAGGTAGAACACGCCGTTTTAGCCGATACTAGCTATCCACTCATATCCCCTTAACCCAGCCGGGATTTCCGTCTGTTATTGTTTTTAATTTCCTTTTTAATTTTGTCATGGTGGGTGTCGACATGCTGACATCTGGGGGAGGAAGCTGGGGGCTAGGCTAGGGGCCAGCTGAGGGAATTTGGTAAGGGTGATGGGAGATGTGCGGTTTAGTGTTGAGTTTATTTTTTCATTATTGTGATGGTGATTCTGCTTGGTTGGTTTGTTTGGTATGGGATCTACATTAGAGCTTGGTGTACTGGATGAGGTTGGATGAGATGAGTTAGTGGGTTATTATATTACTCAGGTAGTTAGTTGCAGCTATACTCATAGTATAATAATTAAAGAAGAGGAGAGGAGGAAGTAATTCCCTCACTACTCTCATATTAAAAATATTTGCTGATAAAGTTCTTCCCTTCTATGCCCAAGTATCTCTGCACAAGCAGTGTATAGAAATCCGCCTCCGCCACCAATAAAGTCTGCCAATCCACACACACACACCCTGCCCTCTAAGTAGAGAGAAAGACGGAGAGAGAGAGAGAGAGAGAGAGCTTGTGTGGGTCTCCTAATCCCTACCCCTCTTTTCTTCCCTAAACCTATACTATAGAGAGTAAAGGTACGTACGTACGTAGTCAAATATAGCCCTTGATCGACCAAAACTAAACCAACAGACCAGCCTCGAATCACGAGAATCATACAAATTAAGTTGTTAGTTAGTTTAACGTTATTAGTGTGGAAACATCATGTGGGAAAAAAAACGGGAAGGTGATCTGCATTACTAGTTTTTTTGCAGAAATGCAAGTCATTTTCTCACTCTCACACACAACAATTTGCAAATAATAAGCAGAGAATATTATTAATTGATTGGTTTGTGGATTTTCCCTTTTTTTTTAGTGTGGATACTTACGGAGTTCCGCTTGGTCTGTGCTACGTACTTTGAACTTGAGTGGATTAACGCACTAGTCCCGGTTAGGAAAAGCCGGGAGGCGATGATTGAACCTTGATTAGTTACTGTACTTTTTGACTTTTCAATTACTTTTTTGAACTGTTAGGAGGAATCGGGTTAGGGCGGGTGTAACTTAACTTACTGGTGCTGGGTAGGTTCAGGTTCGGGTGGTTGGGTTCCTTGGATCTTTCTCTCTCGCTCACTCTTTCGTCTCTCTCTCTGTGCTGTTGCTGTTGCTGAGGTACGGTATTGGGTAGATTCGGGTCTGTCCCTCTGTTTTGTGTCTGTGAGTTCAATAAGTGAAGAAGAGTTTATTTGTAGGGTTGAATCATTCAAGGAGTAGATGCTTTCAGAATACACATTTCCTTCTCGTGAGTATACTCTATACTTCCTGTCTTTACCTTCACTCACCACTCACCACTCAATCCATCTACAGAACTTAAGAGTAGAATCCACCTAACCTGTCCTACTACTAGTTACTACATACCACACTCCCTCACTACTACTACCACAATCATAAACCCACATAGAGAAACATCTTATACTACCAAAGCAAGCAAGCATCCTCACTCGTAAATACACTCCCACCCAAAAACCCACACCCAACATGGAAGTATTTTCCGTCTCGGCTAACACCACCCACTACCCATTCCCGACTTGAGCAATATCCTGGAGGTGGGATGCAAACCAGCTACCCGACTTAGATGAAATAGGGATTGGGAATGGGCCTGTTAAGACCCAGGCTATTCACTAACTAAACAGAGTAACCGGGTTCATCTGTCGCTTTTTGCTACTACTGTTGTTGTGGGCTGGGTCTGGCTACGGACATCCGGCCGATCTCCCATTTCACAGTGGAGTCAAGTAAAAAAGTGAAAGTCTAGAACTTGGGAGCTCCCGGATAGTTGATAGCCCGAAAGAGGGGGGAGGAGTTGGAGCTGGTGTGGAGTTGGGGGGTGTGTGTGGGTGGGTGATCATGATGGCTTGCTCCAGAGATTAAGAGGGATTGGATTTGGATTTGTGTAACGTGTTCTGGGTAGCTTGATTGCTTGTTTGCTTACATCAGGGTTGTTGAGTAGCTTAGTAGCTACTAGCTAGCTAGATAGAAGAAAAAAAGAAGAGGTGAGATGAATATACAAGGATGACTCACTTCCTGTCCCTGCCAAGTGCCAAGTAACATTTCACACATGGCAGATAATACTACTAAGGTACTACCTACACAATAATACTAATAGTAAAGTGTAAGAAGAATAGATAGATAGTAGGCACCGCCACTCCCTCCCTCCTCAACTAAGTCTAACCTAACCCTCACACACACTCCGGAAATACTCACATCCCATACCAGTACTAACCCCAAATCTAACCCTCTCCTCCGCCCCAATCTAGACCAACCCACGCTTTCCCATCCAGGTATAACACCCTCCTATTGGCCTTTTTCCACCCAACTTAACTAACGGATCGCCTCCGTCCGCATTTCCATAGTAGCAGTACCTTGGGCCCTTCCTCCAATCCCTCAAGATAGTAGGGGGAGCGAGCGAGCGAGCGAGCGGGTCTCGGGGATGGCCGGGCCCCGCTTTTCACCTACTAGTAAGTAGTGATCTCTGCAGTTCCTAACTGATTCAAGTATCTATGGATCGGGCGTTGTGTATCCACTTGCTGGTTGCTCAGTCGCTGTATTTAGTATACTGTCACTGTGTCACTGGTCAATGGGGAGTGCTGCTGGTGGGGCGAGGGTGGGGGTGACTCTTGTATTGACGATACTAATTATATTACTGTATTGTATGTAAGGGATTGTATTGCGTAAGGGTGGGTGGGTGTAAGGCCGAGATTCATCTCCCCGCCCCCGTGTTCTTCTATATGTCAGGATTGCTCCATATTTGGGGGAATTTCCGATGGATTTGAATCAGGTATTGGGATTTGATCCTATGGATTGGATTGATATGTACTTGGTGTCGATCTAGGTACAGAATTGGACATAGTAAATACTAGAAAGGGAAAAAAGAGGTGAAAAAAAAAATAAAGGGAGAAAAAGAAGAACAGGCTATACAATTCGCCCGCTGAACAGTTCCCGGCCTATCTCGCCGCTACGTCGCACCCCCACGCTCGAACTGCTGCTGCGTCGTCGTCGGCTACGGCTCTCGGCTGGGTCCGCCGGACTGAGTCCGCTCGCCCGCGCGTGCAGGTTCAGGATGTCCGTTAGACTCACAACCCCGACTAGCCGCCCCGAAAGCCGTGCCCCGGGTAGCGCCGAGGCCGGGATCGACGGCGCGCTGAGATATGCCGCTGGTGCCGCATTGCTGTTGTTGACGGCTGGTGAAGGGGGTGGACTCGAGTTGGTGACCAATGGGATATGCACGGATGAGTGCGATGGTGTAGGAGGTCCTGATGATGATGGCGATAGCGGATCGGTCACCCATAGGCTGGTGGTTTGTTAGTAGTTGCCATTTTGTATATGCTGGATCTAGACTTACCGATGGGACCGGGTGGCGACCACCTTGGCGACGGTGTGCGCTAGTGTCGACCCTGGGTTCACGTGGAAGACCGGGAACGAGTCTTTGCCCTCTTCCAAGCCGCGATTCGACAGAATCACGGAAATGAAATGCGTGCATGTATTGCGGAGTAGTGGGAGCGAGGATGAGCGCGTGAGGAGCTGTCTGGTCAGCGGTGCTCATCTAGCGTCATAGTGCTGCGTACCTTGACATCTGTCGTGGAGATGTTGCCCACGACGTTGGAGTGGTTGTCCACCACTGCGATAGACGAGATGCCCTCTTCATTCATGATCTGCAGCGCCTCAACGAGCGGCCGATCACCACTACACAGCATTAGCTAGATCACTAAATAACGTTCAAATAACTCACTTGATTGAAATCACATCTCGCGACCCGATCCGCAGGTCATGCAGCGACTGCGGATACAGCTGGTCGATCACAGGAAAGCTGCGGCCATTCTCCCACAGGAACTTGACCAGTCGGAATTGACTGAAAATGCCCACAACCTCATTGTCGTCCCGCTCGCTAACCACTACCACGCGATGCACCCCGCCGCCGAACGTCT